AGTGGCTTAAAAGTGGCATTTTACTTTCAATCTTCTTATTACTAGTCAGAATTCCCTTCTTAAATATTGATTTCGTTTTTTAAGAGTTAATGCAAACATTAAAATTCACTTATTTTTACAGAAAGAGAAAAACAACAAAAGTGTTGGCGATATCTCTTCGCAGACTACTCTGTGAATCTGTTTCTTGTTGACGTTAAGTAGGTCAGTTTACATAGGTCGATCGAGTTTTGAAACATCGGCCCCTATCAGGGATCCTTCTAAGGTCTCTAGTCATAATACTAGCCAAGTTGGTGTAGCTTCTGTTGTACAGTGATAACATTATCGGAATTTTTCTTTGCTTCCTCTACTTTCAGACCCCCAGAATTGAGAAGATTAATTAGTGAAACATTCAGCATTGTTGGAATGTGAGATTATGCAAAGGAACGAAGATGTATGTGGATCCGATTTTTCCCCCCCCCCACTAGGGAATTAATACTACTTCTCGATTAGGAGACTCTTCCATTCTGCCTCCGCTCACTTAGACAAAACATTCCAACACATGTTTCCAAATTAATGGCTCGAACGTAGTATTTTGGGACAAATTTGAGCAACCAAAGTTTGAGTTTGCCCACTAAAGTATTAATGACTCTTACATTTTCTGATAATTTATTCTCGGACTAGTGCCTTTATTAGCGTGTAGGGGCATAAAGTACTTTAAATGTTGTAAGTAAAATAGTTTCCAGAAAATCTAGAAAAGTATTTATATTTCTAAATATATTCGCTTGTGAACACTTCTCCCCAATTATATACCTTTTTGAAAGAAGAAGGTATTCACTGCCGAAATATTCGTGCACATTTGTTTTATGCCTCCTTCAAGGTGAAGGGATACTGAACAAGAAATGTGGAAGAATGAAATCAAATGTGATATCTGCTGTTCTGGGCCAAAAGAATAATAGTCTGGCAAAATGCGAATGAAGAACAATGAGATGGGTTTGTAAATCAGGATTTTGGGAATGAAGAAGGATTACCTGAGACAATTCATTGACAGGTATGTTAAGAGATATAAGATAGTGAACGATTTTCTCTATCCCAACTTTAATTTGTTCACTGCTTAGAAAATATTTATGTAGGTCTTTATTTTTGGCCTTCTTACCATGTTTTTCTCGAAAAATTTGGCTTATAAATTATTTTACCTCCTACCTACTTGAAGTCGACATCCATAACGAGTACCATCTGTTGCACCTCTCTATTAGAATGTCAAAACAAAAATATTTTTTCTCGATTAACTTTTTAGGCTGAAGTTTTAATTTGTAGATGAGTTTTCTCGTTACCTGATGGTACAGGGCAATGAAAGGAGATAAGGCCCTCGGAAAGAGGTCTCCAAGGTGAACAACCTCGGTCATCAGTGGTTGCGACCCATTGGCCATAGTGCCGAGTTCTTGTGCCTTGACATATTGACCAATCAGGAGGAGATCAACGAGGCCACTGACTGTAAAACGCTTCTAAAATAATCGGGAATAAAAGAAACTTGTGCAAACTTCTTTGACTATGTAACAAGAAGGCTATTTCGGGAGCCCCAATCATCCATAGAAATTATATTTCAATTCGGAATTGCCTATCGTGGTCCCAAAGCCCCAAGAGCTTTTCCATAAAATCTTGCATAAGGCATTAAGAGGAGGTGTAGTATTATGTCGTACAGCTGTCAAGGTAAAAAACTTGACTCTGGCGAAGAAAGATGCTTTGAGGGTGGATCACAGTAAAGAAGATCATTTAATTGTAATTTGAGGCTAATGACAAAGCTAAATGGTTTAAGGTAAATGTGCCAACAGGAACTTGTACCGATATTTAGTGTACTCGGCAATACAAATGTTTTATGAACACGTCAACTAAGAGGGCAAATTCGTAGAGGGTGGTTAAATATGATATGCAAGTTAGGTTATGTGCTAGTGCATTTGAGATAGGAAATGGTTTTTGCATTTTAACTTTTACAAGGCGAGCGAAGCAATTAAATTGCTTCTAAACAAGGTGCCATCTCACTTTTAGGAAAAGCTGCTCGCCCTGTGATTCGTTTGGTACGCTAAAGTTACAGGTGCTCTTAAAAATCCATTGTTAAAGACCAAGAATTTGTCAAGGTTGTAAAATTCCCACGTAGTATGGTGCAACTGTAAAATTTTGTCAGGAGAGCTTCTCCAGAAGTACTACACTATGAAAATAGAAGACCCCATAACGAAGTAGGACATATACCTAATTTGAGGATAAGAAGAAAGGCGCTTCCTGTTGGTAGTTTTTCAAGTGGCCATTATCACCTCTTTTTTCTTGTTTCAATCACATTTGAACTGGAGACAGAAGGGAAAAGTATGATTGGGGGGCAGGTGGGTCAGTCAGTTGGTAGGTAGGTCAGTAAAGCCAGAGTTTTGTGTAAGTGGGTTTTAAACCTAGCTTTTACCTTACCAAAACAAGTATTATGGTGCCCTTTTTTAAACTAAAAGAAAAAATAAAAATTTTAATGATTTTTGAACCGGGTTTATTAAAAACGTTTAAAAAATTTTCACTTTTTCTGTCTGAATACACTAGAGAGAGAGCAGGCGAGAGAATGAAAACAGGCATGAACTTCTGAGAAACTTTGTAGCATTCCTCGAGTGTAGTCCCTCCTAAAAGTTCAATAATTATGGCAAAAACAGTATCAGATAATTGTATTATTTTGGTACCCTGGAACTTTTGCCAAAAGAAAGTGCAGTAATGTTTGTGGCTCCCCTTCACCCAAGTGATGTAGATCAAATGATGCAGATCAAAAGGTCAAATGATGTAGATGTAATACATTTATGCTTGAATATGTCTTTTGGATGGTAAGAGAGAAAATTGGACCAACTGCGAAAGTTGACGATTGGGAAGTTGCCATCAATCCTTGTAGAGGTAGGGCCAAACTACAATGATTCGCTCACTCGCCCTCCGCCTCAAAAAGTCTTTGAATATTTGCTACATTTTACCTTACCGCAGTGCATGATGTCCTCCAAAAATAAGTTTTTTTCAATCCAGAGGTCTGAAACGGTAGGTAGAGGGGATAAAAAGGGAAATGCTACGGACGGGTTCAACCTTTGATTTTCATCCCTTCAGGGGCTAAAAACAACCGATTTTGTGCACACTCCTCTGGAACTACTTCTCATCGCGAATGCAGCATAGCTCTAAATACCTCTAAAATTCCCAGCTTACTTAAGCCTACTTCAAAAGCTGCATTGTACTACTTTTTGTTCAAATGTACCGTTTAGGTTATAAGCCGATAGGCTGAACCTACCTTGCGACGAAGGAGGCTTCATCGATCCTAGAGGAAAGAAAAAAAAAGGCCAAACTGCAAAGTGAAAGTACATCCTGCAGAGCCTAAAGTGCCAGCGTCCTTTAACCATACAATTAAACAGGCTTCAGAAAATAGAGGACCTAAAAAAGGGGCTGATTTAATGGGGACCACTAATTAATTTTCTTAACAACCTATAATACGCTTTTTGGTAGCAGAGGGAGAGTGGGAAAGAGGACAAGTGAGGGAGATTATTAATTATCCAATGTGCCCACCATTCCATCAAAGTTGGCCTGTTTCATCCAAAGTGGAAAACTTGAGATCATATAAAAACACGCAGATACGAAGCTAAATTAGGTTCTAGTTAGACCGGTCACTAAGTCACTTTGCAGATTTTGTGCTTCGATGTCTGAAAATGGATAATATTTGAGTTATTTCAAACGTAAATTAAGATGATGGAAAGAGTACCTAACTGAAATGAGCAAAAGGACCGCGCATTTTTTGCTTAGCCGATTTCACTGATTTGTTCAAATCTGTAGGGACCTTTGAAGTGAGACTCCTTCTATGTGGTCACAAAAATATGCCAGTCCGCCTCAATAATTCTATAAAAATGCTTCAGTTGAACCGAACAATAGAGCTTCACCCTGTCTGTTTTACGCATCGAGTATGATTTTGTGGCAAAACGGCTGAAGTCTCTTGGAAATTCAGCTTCCTGGCACTGGGAGAAGGCGTGGTATCACAAATGGAAGAGAAACACAGGGTACAGTACAGGTGAATCGATTGCGGTGGTGAATCTCTCAAATTTAGGTGGCCTGCATAGATGAATTCACTCTCTCCTTCGTTTGACCATTAAAATGGAGCTGCATGCCGCGATGAAGAGTAGTGCGTCAATGACGCTTACCGTGAGTGTTGAAACAATATACTTACAGAAGCATCAGTGGAGCGTTGATAGTCAAAATGGCCAAGCAGACGTGCTGCAGGAGCACTAGGAGCGGATAGAGAGAGGCTTCGATGAATATCAGTCTGCTTTTTACTTCCTCGTTTTAACTTGCAAAAGCGCCTCGAGCATCTATCCATTCCGTACCCATCATTCATTCAGAAAAAAGGCCTTAGTTCCTTCTTCCTTCGGAAATGTGTGACCTTCCCTCTCATACCGTAGCAAAATTTGTTTAGGAGCAGACTTCCTATCCCGCTTGCGTACGGGCAAGAGAGAGGTTGCCTTACATCCACTTTACTGGTCTTGATAATATCTCGTCAAGTGATGGCTGTCACCATATCCAGATATTGAATAAACACAGGATCACTGAAGAATTAAACCAGACGGGACAAATAAAAACCGCTTTATATCTCCAAGTGGACATCGTAAACTCGTGGCGCCTTAGGACGGAAATGTATGTTTTGTCAGTGATTATTTTGTCTAATGCAACAAGTTAGAAAGCTTTGTGTTGTTATTCACCTTCGTTAAAAACAACCGTCTGTAGTTTCTTTCATTCTTGTAGCCTATTTGAAAGTCGTAAACAAGACAAGAGTTAAATCTTCAGATGAATTCAAGGTTAACTGTGAACTTCCCGGCTCTTCTTATTTAAAATTAGCCACACTGATCTTGCTACCCCGACCTTCGGTGTTGGGACCATGATTTCTTTCAGACATGCCTGTAGGTTACTGTCATCCCACGAGACCATCCCGAGTTGGGGCTTCTATGCCGTCATTAAGGTAAGTCAGAGCCGCATCTTACTTCTCCCTATTTCCTTCACCTAGCAATCTGGGGTGAACATGCGACCTCAGGCACCAGAGAATGCGGTTAGAAGGTGGGCGAAAAAATGGCTAAATAACTTTAAATTACCATTTCAAGTAGCAAAATTATCTCTTTGAGAAACAGATCCTTCTCTTTTCTTTGGCTTCAGATTTCTTCTGAATTGTTACAGAAAAATTAAGCATGATGTCTCAGATTTTTTCTAAAAAAAGTAAACCTCGCGGGTCATCGGAACAAGACGAATTACTCCTCCAAAAGGCAAGATTTTGTTCTACGAGATCAAGTGAAAAATTTAGCATACACTTGCAGCTCTGAAAAATATATTTAAACAAATAAGCAGTGTATTTGCAGAAAAATCTTAAAAATATAAATTCTAAGTCAGGATGAATAAAAAACTACTCGGAACCCTCAATTTGTGGCAAAACAAAGCAGCATAAGGAAATGCGAACTTAGTGTTAGCATGTACAGGGACTGGAAGGCTATAAAAGTGGCGGAAAAGCAGCGCGGTCTGATTGCGCCATTTGAACAAAAGGTGTTGTTTTTAAGCCCTTTCGTAAGCAAAGGATGCCTCTCGAATGGCACTGGTAGCTCTCAGTCTTACGGCAAATTCTGATCCATGGCTTTTTTTGTTGGAGAGAAAAACTTTTCTCAGTAGTGGAATCCAAAAAGTTGGATATTTTTAAACCCTGGTGGTGCAAACCCGAAAATCTATGCCAAAATTGAGCGCATTATAATCGTCTGGAGTATAAAATGGTCTTACTAGACGGCACAAATTTAAGAATTCCAACCAGTTACAAAAATGCTTGCTTCTGGAGGCGTACTAATCTAGCCTTAGTCACCGCCCTTGAGACCCCTTTTCTTCTTCCCAAAGGCCATTGAAATACCGTTTGTTTTCATGTGATTGTCTAGCGTTCGGATATGCCAAAAGCCATTACTTGGGACTCTATCATCAGGAACGACAGCGAAGATGAAGTATGGAAATGTCTCCCTCCCATTTTTAAGCGCAGGAATACACCTTTCTTCAGTTTGATGGCCTGTCTGCTGGATTCACTTGTCCCATGTGTCTTAAGCAAAAGTTTTAATGCCTTTCTTTTTAGTTATGTTGTTCCGATTCGGTCGATCTTGACCGCTGTACCTGTTTAGCCTTCCACCATGGATGTCTTGTAAACATCACATAAACACAAATCATGCAATTTTGTGAGCACGGAGAAAGTGATTTGGGCCTAAAAGTTGTGGCTCTTGAGAGGATCATTTGAGGCCAGCTAAAGATAGATTTGAATGTTCAAGGAGCGTTGCTCAATGACAGTCAGTCAGTCAGTCGGCTAGTCTGTTAGCAAACATTCGACGATACTGAACACGCTTTGTAACGTGGAATGAAGGAGTGAATACCAAGTTGCCGTTCCTTCAAACCTCTCTCCACTTGTTCTTAGTACTTGTGCAACTTGTTTACTTGGCCTTTTTGACTATCCCCTCTCCAGTGATACTTTTGTGAGTATATCGTTTTAATACTCACGGTAAACGTCATTGACGCACTACTCCTCATCGCGATATGTAGCCTCATTTTCGAATTAACCATTCCGGCATGTAGCTCTGTCTCTATAATCAAAAAAGGGGAGAGTAAATTTTTCTACACATCCCACGGATGAATATGATTTAATCAGAAGCACAATCAAATAGTTGATAGAGGATTTTTGTGGTTGGAGTCATGTCTTGTGTTCCGGTTCTGGATGTGACGTAGCGGTTTCTAAATGCTAGACAACCAAGATGTCGGGTAGTTCCAGTAGTTTTTACACGAAGTTATGCTGGTTGCGTGAACGAGACATGGTGGGAGCTCTTTTACCAGGCTCAACTGAGGCAATCTTAATGGAAGGATTGAGGCGGGGTGAATTTTTTCTACGACTCCATACAAACAATCTTCCGCATTTTACAGTTCATTACATGTTCTCACAGTTCATTTATTTAAGCTATACCTTCGAAATGGTGGTGTTTTTTATTAATTTACCCATTGTTGTCGCAGATTGGCTTTTTCCATCTCAAAGGGAATAACCGAGTTTCATTCCCTCGTTTCCAATACTACTTATTCGATGGCATAGGGGAAAAAACCATACCAAAATGAGACAGGCTCTTTTAAACTTTATAGAAAGTCATTAATAACAAAAAAAATCGTTCTTAGATGAAAGCTTCAGGAATCTTCTCATCCTTCTTCTGTATTAGCAACTTTTGTTCATCTAATGTTACTCTACAACACAAAGGTTTTAACCTCCCGGCATTATTTGATGAATACAAAGGACGAAAGAAGCAAAATTTCTTGTAAGAAAATTATTGGAAACGTCTACGTATAATTCTTGTTAATGTATCAAGCTTGGTTCGTCACTTCAAGAAAAAGATAAATCTCGAAATGCAGAAAAAACACGAAGAATTCGGGTTTTCCTATTTAGAAAACAGTTTAAGTCATTCAATTTTACAGGATTATAAGGCATTACAGAGACTTCCCAATTTAAGTTCATTTCCATTTTTGCCTAAAAAGATCATAAAAGCGGTTCGTGTAATACAGTTTGGCAAGCAGGTAAAGCATCATTGAATATGGCGACACTTTTTAATCCGTTTTCGTAACAAAATAGCACCAGCAACAAGATCCACAAATTGATCATATTTTAAATTTTGAGAGCCTCTAAGTCCACTGAATTGCTGGTAAAGAATTTACTCCTTTTTTCAGCTTTTTAAAATCCTTCTCTCTGCAATGGGGCATTGCTAAAATTTGTAGAATTCGCCGGACAGCCAAAAGGAGGAGGTTTCTACTGTTGTTGGCATAATTGGATGCCTTGGATGCATTGTCTCTCCCTCCTTTTGATTTTTCACATTTATTAGTGTCGACTGAACCAATTTCATGAATATGACTTTAGCCTACCGGTTCACCAATCGCGTTAAAATCGCTTTCTAGGATGGAAAAAATTCCTGTCAAATATGCTGCATTACCCTTCGGTAAAGATAACGTGGAGAGATCTACTAACTTCCACCAGTTGATTGGGTTGATTGACTGCTCAAATTTGGATGTGGTCATGAACGGGGAACCGTGCACCACCTGTGATGTATAAAACTTTCAGCATATTCTGAGATAGATTTAAATTCGTCATCAGAAAAAGACTATTTGTTTGCCCCTATGCGATCCACTGCAAGCACAACTCTTTCCCGTGAATTCTACCTCAGGAACCAAGCCTTGACGGCTGTGACCAACTGCGTTCAATTGTATTGTGCGAAAAAAACAGCCTTCTTCGTACTAACAATCAGAACTTGTGAAATGAAGGTGCTTATCCTAACAATGCCACCCGGTGTAAGACATCTTGCTCTCTTTCTGCCCTCTCTAGCCTTCTCTCGTCTCTCACCTTTGCCACGCGTTTCACTCTTTTGGCTTTAAAGGAAAAACGTTATCAAAAAGTAGAACTTTTGAAAATGTTTGAAGGCCTCAGCGGCAACTTGACTCCGTAATTGCCAAATGCTCCGGCCGATTGCTGTAAACAGGAGTTCATGAGCACTAGCATCCCTGATACCTTGATCTCTCTGTCAACCAGACTGCCAATCAACAGCGACTCCTGTATGAACACCTTCATTTCTGAAGTCCATGAGCAGCTAAGGTTGGCACGACGCGCCTCTCTGATTTATACTACTGATTAACCTTGACCCTTACATTGAGCGCTAGCGTGGGCAAAGTAACCTCAACCAATGGGGAAGGAGTGAGCAAAAGCGCAACTTTTAAAGTGTTCGGGATTAGCCGCTGGGAGTGGAAAGGTCTTAAAAATTGAAGAGAAACATTTTCCTAGTATTGCAATTATCCTTAGCACTTAATTATTCACCTAGTAAAATAGCGCTATAGCAAAAATTTATTTATTTCAGCACGCAAGTATAACTACTCTAAATTGAGATTTGGTTTATTGCCGATATAAAAAACCGGTTTATTGCATGAATTTTGAGGAGGCTATAAAGAGACAATGAATTATTTTTTTAATCACCTAATTCTGATCTTCAATACAAAGGAGAGGAGGGAATGATTTCGCACCACTTACACGGAACCAAAAGAAACAATTTGTAGGTAATCAATTTTTGCCTTCAAGCATCCCCAGAATTACCCCAGTAGGGCACCTTATATCTTTATAACAGGTATCGACGACTGTAGGGCAGAAAGGTCCAGGCAAATCAACCTAATTAATAAGGCAGTCGCAAGGAAGTAAAGCCCTATTCCTACTGCCTGTGTCAACACTTAATCGGGAGAAGACTTTCTGTTACACTTGGGGATAGAAGAGAGGTTGCCACACCTCACCCCCTTTATTGGCTCTGACGGTACCTTGTGAAGTGACGGTTGTCGCCACTTCTTTAAGCCAGACAATCACATGACCACAGGCGGACTAGAATAAACATTTTCGAAGCAGAAGCACGATGGCAGCAGAGGTGGGTGGAGTTAGACTCAAACCCTCCAGAAACAAGACTCTTTCTTTGCCAATAGCATTTGCAAGCTGGAATCATGTTGTGAGACTGATAATTACCCTTCTCTCAACAACCCTATGCGAAAGTATTTGATTGCTTTTTTTATAAACGTTAAACACAGCCATGTTACTAGTGTAAAAACGGGCAATTCCGTGACCCCAACCAAAGTAATAAAGAAAGAAACACTTGGAGAAATGAGGACTTTAGTGGGAGCATATGGTTTCAACAACCAGACGACATTTATCTGCGCCCCCATCTGTTAATCGGAGAGCCAAGATACATGGGTTGGTTGTATTCTCGTGTTTTGATTGGCTATGACCCTACTGAGGATACTAGCATGCTCAAGGGGCAACCGCCTGATTATTGACCAATCAGAGTTAGATCAGAGAGAAAATCAACTGTGAATTTGTTCCAGAATGCTCAAGGAAGAAAATTGTAAGAAAAGTCTTGACCTCGAAACCAAAACCGCTATTTATCTTCTAATTACCGAAGCTGACTAACCATTTAATTCACATTTACAACATTTTTTTAACAAAAACAGTATAACACCTCTGTATCTTTGCCAATGGCAACAGTCTCTGAGGTGTGAGGTTTATTTTGTGCGGAGGGGAGCAATTCTAAAGACCTGACGACTCACAGTTGTAATGTCCCTTTTTCCCTTCTCCACTCCTCTTCTCCTCCTTGTCTGTCGAAAGGTTAATCTTCACAACTGTTGGTGAGTGTGCCAAGGGACATTGAAAATGTCAGCCTTCTGGCTAACTGTTCAACAGTGGTCATGACTGGGGTGTGGATTGTGCCTGGTCGAGATCACAAAGTAAAGAACGATTGTCAAGAAGAAAATAACATAGAAGCATTGAATAACCGAATAGAGCGATTTGGTCTTTTAGGCAGTCACAGTAAGTTGCAGCACCATAAAGTGTTTTGCTTCTAGAATAGATGGTGGCCTCAGGTACAGCACCTTCTGAAAAAGCTACACGAGGAGGCTCCATGGTCTGAGAACCGTTCGTATCTTAAAGAGCAGACGAATCCCTAGCCGATTCATTGAGGAGAAATTCTGTCGATTGGCCAGCCGGAACATTCATGACCTATAGAGTAAGTTGGAATACTTACGTAACCATCTGCTGATTGCTGGAAGCACAAGGTGGTCCCATTCTCGTCTATTTACAGTTCCCCAATTTGGCACATTTAAAGTCTATCCGTACCAGAAATTCGTTCAGTATCGGAAGTAAACGGGACGATTTAGAGGGTATGAGAATTAGCCATCAAGAATAATCTTTGGGCTGATCTAAAGAGGAACGTGTTTTGGGGCTCCAGATACTTTCAACAAATAGGTTCAACTAACATTTCAGGCGATGCGAGTGCCGAATTTAAACAGTATCTCACTGGTAGATTGGCGTATTTATACTGATTGATTGCTCAACCTTTTTCCTGGAGGCAAGCAATAACATGGGAGTCTGGAAGTGAGTGCATCAATAACGCGCCATAGGGTCGGAAGACAGGCATCACGAAGGGCAACCATGGAAGATTGAGGAAGACTGCGGTAATCTATGCACGATAGTCCAGAATTGCAAATGGTTGCACCATCACATATTTATACTGCTTTAAATTACTTTGCCCTCATTTTAGACGTCAATTTGTGTCGAATGACCTCACGATACTTGAAGCAAAGACGAGAACCCAGCAAGGGCGCTGACTAAGCAATATCCTAGGAATAAGGGAAATAAACTTGCAAAATCCTCTTGAACTTCGAAACAGAAAGCCTTTTTCTGAGGCTGCACCTACCCTTCGTTGAAAAACGTCGGTAGAGTTATTTTCTAGGGTCGAATAGCAGTCATTCCATCTTTACTCTTCATTAACCGAAGCGGCGTTTGAAAAGTGTTCAACAGCGTCTCCACCAGTACGGCATTATGGCAAGCTGCCTTAAACAGTGTGTCACAGGCACAGTTGGTTTCGATGCCTTATCCAGATGCCGTTTCTGTTTTTGATCTCGAATATGACCTTTCTGGATATAAGCGGAATTTATTCCCGTCAATGCAATTATCGTGTCTTGGAGGATAACCACTGACACAGACTACAGTGTCTACCTATAATTTCGGCCGAAATTTCCAACACAGCCCCTTTCAGGTCATTCCGTGACCTTGAAACCAAGGCTTCGTTGACCGAATGAAATTTACGCCCCCCATCACCCTGTTATTTAATCGGCGACTTTAGACAGAAGTGTTCACAGTTGTCCGATATGACAGGTAGGAGGCTTTACAGGCTATCTGCAAGATTTGAGTATCACACTCTCTAAAGCTTCGGCTCCAGTCTCGGCAACTTGACGCCCTAGACGTGCCTATAGACTACTAGCTTATCTGAGCGTTAATAATAGTGCCTAATCTGCAACACTTACTGAGAAATCGAGGGCTTTTGGTGGTGCATCTATCTATGATCAGCAATGGACTTTCGGCTTCCAATCCCAATTTAGAAAAGAAGTAAAGCTCAAAAATGAATGCTTATTTCTACCGCTAATCTTTTTTGTCAAATGGTGAGCTTTATTATTGCAAGTATTGCAACTGTAAAAGAGAGGAAATTTTCCTACTGAAAACACTAGGTGAGTAAGCTAAACAAATTTTACTTAAACCCCCAAATACCCGCAGTACTTTATATAATACAGAACCGAAGACTTCATTTGATACCTTTTATAAGAACAATCAAAACTTTAGTTTACCATCATTTGAATGCCTAAATAAACTTACGTCACTTTGACACTAATTCCGTCCAAAGCGCGATGATTCGGCACTTTGTTTAATCGTGTGTCTAATGACACGGACGCTTCAATCCCTGCAGGTTATGTTCTCACTCTGTGGCCCGGCCTTTCGGCCACACCAAAAGCCTCCCAGTCCACTTCTATGTCCCGTTGCGACTTCCCCGAAAAACCGGGACTCCCATAATTACTTTTGACGTGGGCATTTTTATTGTCTCAGTCACAGAGTATCTTAAATGTTTTGTAATCTCAGAGCACTTCTTTGATTTATGAACGGCAGCAGTCAATGTTGACCATCGCAGGCATGAAACACTAGCTTAAAAGTTAGCAGGAGCATTACACTATACGCAGTTTCTATAAAATGTGAGCCTGAAGTTCATCAACTTTGAATCCTAGCAAATAATTGTGGTTGATGATACGTCGGCAAAGGTAGATGCGAAGTAGTTGATGTGATGTTTCCGCTTTAAGTTGCTGCATCCAAGTGAAATACGCCTCCATCCCTGTAGTTGAAATTATAACGAATACTTTATGGCTAAAGCATTGTAATTTTGCAGACGAAGCTTTTAAACCGTACCCCGTAATCATAGCCAGAATTTGATAAACTCAAAAATCAAACTTAAGAATAATCAAGCCTCATGATTCCCAAAAACCTTATGCCAGTAGCCCCAGTTAATTCTGTATGACAACAGTATATAAGCATCGCCCCTAGACTTCCCTGAAGACGAAAGAAGACATAATGCTGAGGTAAAATGTGAGTGTTCGCCGTACATTTGGGGTGGGGGATACTGGCCTATCTTGGAGGCCAGTCCATCCGGTGAAGGTACAATGGAGGGGACCCAAATTGGCTTCTTTACCAAAACAGAGTCAAACTACCAAGGCATTACAAATGTTCTGCTCAAGTATTATGCATTTTGCCTTCTTCGATGATGTTTTGAGGCGATACAAGTAAAAACAGTAATTTGACCATTGCGAATTAGAAGGGTACTGTGAAAAAATTCGAACATTATTTGAATCGATTTTGCCTTTCAAGTTGAACTTAAGGGCATTTGCAAGGTTGGATTTTCACTGCTGGTAAAGTTGTTTTGGAATACAAAACTAAGTGATTTGTGTTACAGTTCTACGACCTTAACTACGATAATGCAACCCCCGAGACTCCCTGAAGACGAAAGAAGACACAATACTCGTGCAGAATATATGTATTCAGCACGGCGAAGGTGTCTGGGCTATTGGCATGGCCCAAAAGGCCAGCCCACCCAGCGAGGTACAAGGGGGCTAGTTCAAAGTACAAAAGTAGCACCTCACCAGTGCCGAGGGATAAACCACTATCGTATTACACATCCTGTCAGAATACATGTATTCGGCATACAAAAGGTATTAGGCCTACTGGCATAGTTAGGAGGCCAGCCACCCAGCAAGGTGCAATGACCAAGGCAATGATCGTTAAACAAATAATCAAAGTATTACAATAATAAAGTCGTAGGCCAAATTACAAACGCGATTGGGAATCTGGAAGTTTGGCTGCAATCCATCCGATAAACTCTGTAGTCACAGTACGGTGCACCGGGTTCTTTTCTGACTTAGAGGACAAACTAAGGTTCCTCTGCTAATTACTTTTGTACTTAAAGTGCTAAATTTGCTAAAATAACACCGGAGGATTTGTCTTAGGTTACAAATATGTTTGATTTGATAACCCTGACAAATCTGAATTAATTAAACCTGCCATTCTTTTGGGTTTAAAATAATGAATAATAAATTTTTGGCTATAAAATGCATGATTACGTTGATACTGAACACTTTGAAAATGTAATTTAAACAGACGACTTAAAAAAAGAAAACCAATGGATCAATGTTACCATTGCAAGATACTGATTTAATTTTTTTTAAAAGTTTTTAGTTAATTACACTTGCTTTTGTGAGAAAACAGGCGGAATTTACTTTGAATGTGCTTCTGCCTGAATCTGTGCTAGGGCGCTCATCTTGAGCAGACCACCTGGGTTTCAATTCACCTGTCAGAATGTCGGGGAGGCTCGCGGCATTAAGTAGTGGTAATGTGATTCGCAGTTTTCGGATGCTCAAAGTAGTTCTTCTTTTGATTGTACGCTTTTTAGACTTTCAACATCGACGAGTTCTGTCTACTTGTCGTACAAATGCATCATGAAAAATCTGGGGCCAATTTGATTCATCTTCTCCGCGACGACCCCAATCGGGCATTCGGGTTCGTCCTTATTACAATTCCTAAAGGGTTTTTTTATATGAGGTCTTGTTTAAATTAACAATGCCCCTGGTTGCCGTGAATTTTTAACTTTAAAACAGTTTTGTTTTCGTTGTAGTGTTCAGTTTAGAACCACCCCATTTGATGATTCTGGAATGCCTCATATTCTTGAGCATACTGCACTTTGTGGATCACAAAAATATCCTGTTCGTGATCCTTTTTTCAAGATGCTACGTCGAAGCCAGGCTACATTCATGAACGCCTATACAGGTACTTAGCCGAATCATCTAGTATTTGTCACGTTCTAGCCAGCGACTGGACTATGTATCCCTTTAGCACCATGAACGAGATAGACTATCAGAATCTACGTTCTGTTTATATTGATGCGGCATTTTTCCCCATCCTGTCCAAAATGGATTTCATGTAAGTGACATTCTGGCGTTATTGTTAACCCCTATTTTTCCTCCCGAAGATAACGTTATGTCAGAATTTGGTGAAGTATATGCTTTTTGGCCTGCTATTACTCCCCTTTTTCGCACAACTTGACCCCACCTTAATTTCTGAAACAACTATCCTCAAATTTTCGTGTATTTTGGGTATGCTATTTTCAGGAATTTTGGTGGTATGAATCCACTAAGAATCGGTCTTCAATAATCGCTTTTAATGGTTCCATTTTTGGAACTGATGTCCCTAGTGTTTCATATTGGCTGTTTATTCGGGCAAATCAGTGGCACTACACAAACTCAAATGATCAACCTCTATACTGTAGTTTATTTTTTGGCAATATTATGAGGTCCATAGGAAGTTTTGCTGTTTTTATCGTTAAAATACATACACAATGATTGGTTAGGTGGGTTATGGCAAATGAACGTGCATATGGCCACTTAATTTAGACTGATGGGTTAAAAATGGAACGGTATGTTGTTTTTCCCTTTTCTACTCATTTTGATTCATCATTGAATTCGATGGAGCTTGTAAAATGGAACTTGTTACCATTTTTAAACACCCTTTTTTAACTCATCGGTTGAATGGTTTGTTATTACAGAAACAAAGGACCTTTAAGAATTTTTGTGTTGAGGAGAAATTCTCCATTGTAAAGTATGCCGATTGGTTGCATAACTCCTCTTCGAATATTTGCTGGTGTTTTTGAGATTTTTACCCTAACATGGTACTTATTGCTATTTCAGTATCGATGTCGAGATGCAGCCAAGCTTCCGGTGTGGACTACTTCTTAAGTTTATGTGAGGATAAATTTTAAGCAGAAATTGGCTTTTCAGTCCTTCGCTCCACCGGTAGTTTTTAATCCTGAAAAGCCATAAATCGGACACCTTTGTTTCACCTTAGGCTATCTCGAAGGCCTTTCAGCTGCCACCTCTTGGGAATCATTTGCAATCTTTGCGTCTTATGTCAGGATTTACTCTATAAAATCTTTTTATGAAATCAATGGAGGCTCTGTCTGTGGTGGATTAGGGATGGAAGTACTAACTACTTCTTACCGAAGGTCCATGTACTAACAGGGCTGGAATCTGTCTACCCGATGCGAGACAAGTAAGCTTCATAATCAGGCGAGACCGGTTAATCAATCTGGAGAAGGTGCTGTTCTCAACTCAGGCCCTTATTATCTCACTTGAAGACAGGAAGGAGCTAATGCCCCATGCAAATGACATTAGACAATCGCATGATCGCCAGCGAAATGGGTTAGTCTGTTATAGAAGAGAAGTAGTTTCTAAAGTCGAAATTCCAAAACTTGTGTCTTATTGAGAAAGGATGGTGGATTATGTGGTTACTTCGGTGAGTAAAATGCTAAGAAGCTTCCGGTGGTGATCGTACAAATTTCATTTGGTCACCTTTTATTTATTGGTCTATATTAGCGATTCTCAAACCATTGCTAGGACAACGGAATTAAGAGAACTTTTCCGAAAAAATGTTTATTTTTGTAATTTTCACAGAAGTCTTGCCAAAGTAAGAATATGGTGTTTTTGAGCGTGTTTAGTTTTCCGGATATTCCATTTAAAGCTAACATAATAAGGCACATCACGCAATCAGGTCAAGCAGACTCCAGGAGTACGCGCTTAGTGGACTATTTCACATACTTCTGGTTCACTATTCTTGATACCATCACTCAGTAGTAGTCCTCATTCTATCAGTTCCCTTTCTTTTCCCCTTAGCACTTATCTTTTGGTCATTTTTACCGGCGGAGTGTTGCCTATTCAAAATGCGAATAAAAAATATTTATTTGTATCAATTCCATGGATTTTGGTAGATTTAATCTTCTGACTTGCGAACTGCGCTCCAGGTATTTCCGAGAACTTTATGCGGTATACGAGTAGCGTCGGTTTGGTCAAATCGTGGGGTTGAGGCCACTGATAGTGGTAAATGATTTAAATGAATATTTTCGGCTTCAGTGTCTTCTTTTTGACTATCCTCCTCGGCTTACTGAGTTTAGATCCACGTAAGTGTATGGGAATTAGAACTACAAATCCAAACCAGTGCTTTTTTGCAGGCAGGAAGGTTGGCGTCTGGAGCCAGAGAAGTTGGACGACTCTTCCTCCAAGTTGCTTCTCAAGGGTGTCGTCTACAACGAGATGAAGGGCGTCTTCGTAAGTTTATCCATCTTCCCTTAGCTCTTCCGGCTTTTCCATAGTCCAATTCGCTAAACCTTCTGGCTCAAACCGTGGAGAATAACCTCTTGCCAGTGAGCTATGGTCATGTCAGCGGTGGCCATCCCGATGCCATTCCTAGTCTGAGTTTAGAGGCTTTGAAGAAGTTCCACAGTACCTTCTACCACCCGAGCAATGCCACGTAAGTGAGATGACATTCTTTGTTACCTATCTGTCCGTCTGCATTTTCATCGTGTCTGAATATCCTGCAGAATTGGATGCAATTTAGTGCTTGACTTGCCGTTGATCATTTGAGTTGAATAGTTCTGACTCAGGCTTGTCTGGTTTACGAACCGTGTAACATTTAGAAAAGATGCTGACCGCGATGGCGGAACGTACTGCCCAAGAATGAGGTAAATGAGCACTTTGATTCCGGTAATAAATCACTCAAGTTCACAACACCTTCCTAGCGGAAAACAAAAAAAAACCACAGTTCCAACGCACAACACCTTGATGGTGTTCAAGGGAGCTTTTTTGGCAAGACAAGACAATGTGACGTTTTGTACCAACTCAAACTTTAGAATCGGAAGGAGATACAACTACTGTTTCTGTATTCGCTTGATGATATTTCTTGATAATTCATTTTAGCCGTTGTAAACTGGCCGGCGTTTTTTGATTCTCCGTCCTACTACTTTGTTAAAACGGAACTAGTTGATCCCAATCGTGATGGATCTTTGCTTTGTGAAGGTATCATACTTCTGCGACTCCTACACCTTACGGAGCGTTTGAGTGGATAGCTATTTAAATGCCCAATCCGATTGTGCCTCAAGTTTTTCTCATAAAAGTTTTAATTTTCTTCGGTGTGAAATGACCGGGTGACCTACTCAGAGACCTAGGTTATGATCCAAATGCAGCCGTAGGGTTTCTTTATAATCAAAGTGCACATTGATGATTGTAATATTTTAATGATTTCTTAGAAGTTTAATGCTTCCAATAACTTCTAATTAGCTGACTGTTTGGAGCACCGGTCAGATTGAATCCCATAAGTTAATATCCATTAGAAGGAACAGAATCTACTGAAAATCGGTTGTCATTCTTTAATTCTTCTGTCGTACGGTTTACCTGAAATTTCATTGAGCTTTGGAGGTTGAAATATTTTGTGCTTTGGATTTTACACAGATATGATGTGTCCGTGTTGAGGCCACTCGGACGGCTCTCAATAAGCCACTCGGATTGAAGTGCATAATTTTATTGGTTTGAGGGTTTTTGTGTTGTTTTGTCGTATCAAATTTATCGCTAGTAGTTTAAACGAGGTAAGGCCTTGTGAAATCTCATTTTCTATAGCTTTTACACCTACGGAAACGTCGATCTGGACGAGTGTTTGGAAGCCCTGGACACCGAGTGCTTATCCAAATTCAACGTTCAGTCGGCTTCACCGCAAGTACCTCTGGAACCTCGTTGGACGGAACCGGTAGGCATCCGGTCGGTGATCGACCAGTTTGTCCGCTTGCTTGTCTGCCTCTTTTCACATCATTTTCGATCTCCGTCTGTCTGTGTGTTATTTCTCATCATTCTTACCCTTCAGAGGCGCATTAAGCTTACGTGTCAACCAGATCCCACTCTCGCGGATCCCTCTAGAAGTGGTGTGGTCTCCGTCAGCTTTGCCCTAACTGAGTATGTTTTTTTTTTTTAACTAAAATGGTAGAAATTGTATTAAACAAGTCGAACTTCATTGCTTTTTGTCTCGAGGACTTTTTTCTACGAAAAGAGAATCATCATCATGTTCTAGTTCCAACTTTACTGTAAAATTCAAAATAAATGGGTTGAAATATTCTTGTTTGTTTTTTAACTGTTGATGATTTATGGACCTAACACTGGCATATAACATTCAACAACAGCTCGAAATGTGGACTTCGCTTCAAATTCATGAAGCGATTCTTAAAACGGATGTCACCGGATTTGGGAATGTTTCGTTATACTAACCTGTCTGCTTTCGTATGAAGTTTTGCTACAATGTGTGACATCTTATGTTTCTTCGGTTGTTCGATTATTTCGGGGTCAACATTTTGCCTCTTAGGCAAGAAAATTTTGGCTGGCCTACTTAATTACTAAATGAGTAGTATATCTCAGTACTTCCCAAATATTTTTCGACTGGACGAAGTAATAATGCTAGTGTTCCTAATTTTTCGCGACCTATTGCAACCTCTCGATCTTCTAGTAGTCTACTCATTCAGAAAATAAACCGTGTATTCCCGACTTTTGGGTTGATTGAATCCCATCCACTTATAATGTTTTTCTTAAATACCATTCAGATAGCCTGTACGTATAAGGTGAGTTACTTGGTGTTACTATTCATCGTCTACATTTATCCGTAGAATTAAAAAAAACCCGGACGTTTACTTAAGTACAAATTTATCATCCCAACTCTCTCGCTTGCAGTATTTGCGACATCTACACCAATTTTGCTCTCTCAATCGCCCTCTGCCTATTGATTGATGGGGACAGCGCACCTCTTTACCAAGGTCTCATCGAATCCGGTCTGGGTCTGGACTGGACTCCCCCAGTCCATGGTATGGATCGCAGTATCCGTACCACTTGCTTCCACGTTGGCTTACAGGGCGTTCAACCCGGTACAGATGCTGAACGCGTGGAAGCTGCGGTGATGGAAATACTCGCAAAGACGGTGAAAACGGGCTTTCCTAAGGTTTGTGGTAGAGTTACTATTGAATTCACTATAGATGGTTTTAATAGTATAAACGAAGATAAGAGCCGGAGGCTGGGATTTTTCTCCCGTAGGAACGAGTAGAAGCAGTGCTACATCGGCAGGAGATCGCGCTACGCGAGGATAACGCAAGGTTTGGTCTGCAGGTAATTCTCGGCCTGGCAGGGGTTGTCAATCACGGTGGTGATGTGCAGACAGCGCTTTCGGCGCAACAAATGGTGGACCGATTCAAGTCGGATCTGGCCGCGGACCCGGAGATGCTGCAGAAGCTGATCGATCACTACTTAGTGCAAAATCCACACCGTCTCTGTGTGACTATGCTGCCTGATGCGGAGTTTGAAGCTAAGCAGAAGGTGAAGGAGACTCAGAGGCTTGAAAAAGCTATTAGTGGAATGTCGGCGGAGAAAAGAGAAGAGTTGCTCAAAGATGGTTTGCAAAATTCGTTGATTTTTTTGCTGATTAATTTTATTCTTGAGGATGAGGTTTAATTAACTGGAGTTCATTGTTTCAGCTTGTTCGAGGGGTTTGGAATACGCGATATGTTAGTTGTCTACCTTGGACGAAATTTTTTTCTCCTTGGTACACTGCTAGTCCTCCAGCCTTTCCACACACTAATAAAGAAAATGGGTTGTGTCTGATGTACTTACGGTCAAGAAGACATAGAAAGAAGGTGTATACTGTGGATGTTTAAATCTACGGTGAAGAGTCACAAGCAAAGCTCTAAGTTGACCACGTACAGTGCAGTGTCCGAATCCAACGAGTTAGGATTGACAAAACATAAGATAGCCTGTGGTATTTATCGTGTATGCATTGCGAAGGTTAGTTGAAGTATGAGGAAAGGATGTGCGATTAATGAAGGTACAATGATCGCAGAGGGTTGAAGCTATGCAGTAATGGATAAACGGGCAAAAACCTGGGAGCTCTTTTGCTATCGTTTAATAGGTTTTGTCTCTAAAACAAGGGAACATTGCATGAAGTACACTCACTATAAGGGTTTGTTCAATCCTAAGCCTATGTACTACTGAAATGCATCGCTAGTGTTTAATTCCAAAGTATTAACGTTACGAGGGGAAATTGCCGCATGTTCCCCATTGCTGTATCGTAAACCGAGGTTTCATTTATTTGGGTAAATTGATTGTCACTGCGGAAGAGTAACTTCCAAATCCTCGAGGGGAAGGGATTGGATAATTAAAAAGTTAGTATTTTAAGTTGTCTTCCACCTTATCAACAAAACTGGTCATCAGGGTTGCTTATCCCTACCACTCTTATCTCTACCTTTTAGTGCGTGAATTAGCGGAGAAGCAGAAGAATCAGACAGAGGAGGATGTCTCATGTTTGCCCTGTCTCAGTCTCCTTGATATACCGCCCAAGTGCCGGCCTGAGCCCTTTACTGAGATGCAGAGTGAGTTGACGCCTGGTGGTCTTTTTTGTCCCAAAACGATACTTCTTTCTTAGTTATTTTGTACAATTAGTTGTCATTACTTAATTAGTTTTCGTATTAAATGTCGCGTTTTGGAGGTCAAAAGCTACTAATTACCGGGTAATATATATTCTGTTTGTTTCCCCGAAAGTATGCATAATCAGATATACTTAAACTTTAAATTAAATGAGACTTGGGGTATTTTCATCGCCGTCTGGTAGGCTTTTCCACTTATGCACATATTTGCGTATTAACCATACACATTTTAATCTTTTCGTTGCTACGAAAACCTTCAGAAAGATGCAATGGATGCACTTTACGAGTCTTGGGAATACTTTAAATCACAAGGAAGAATGGTAGACAGTTGCGTCTGAATGTAGTATGAGGTCTTCTTAGGCGCAGGTTCTGAGGCAGTTTGAGGCTTTCTTTTGGCTGTTTTCTAGCCCCAGCTGCTTCTGGAGGAGGGGTTTTTCTTGCACTCTTTCCAGTTGTATTGCGTTGAGGGCGTGTGTCTTGTTTGGTCCTTAGCAAGTGAATAATTGCGTCTGAAGTTCCCCAAACGCACAACGCGAGCTGTTTTCTGTGGGTAAAGCGGTGCCATTGAAGTTTGGGAGGGTGAGTGGATTGTTTGGGAATTAACCGATGATATGTTAGCTCGCTTAACCTTGGAATAAAAATAGTTTCTTACCACAAATGTGGCATCGAAGCCGGTGCATTTTTTTACCGCAGAGGTAAACAAAACTTGACAGTCTTGGAAGCTTTCTTTCAGCAAAGTGTTTTCTCTTCTTAACAGTTGGTGAAACGTCAGTTAATTTGAATCAAGCACCAACAAATGGACTCGTCTACTTGCACACTCTTGCCAACGTCTCCGATCTTCCCCAGGACCTCCTCATCTACTTGCCCATTTTCACGTCCCTTTTCTCTCAGTAAATCCTCTGTGTTTCCTACTCTTATTTAATCGTCGTTGTTAAACATAACCTATTCTTAACTTTTCTGCCTACCAGACTTGGTGCGGATGGTCTGACCTATCAGGAAATGGATCTACTTCAAGAGCTTTATACGGGCTCTTTCTGTGCCGTTCCCCATGCTGTGGCTAGTCTTTCTGCGCCTGAGGCAGAGACGAAGCCTTGCACTCGACACGTACACATTTCGACGTATTGTCTAGCAGACAGGGTGCCACGGATGTTGGAATTGTTGTACAAGCGTCTGAGTGCAAATAATTGGTATGATCGGGCGCGCATCTCCACGCTCCTGGCTGCTGATGCTGCGAGTCAATGGTCGGCCAATGCGCTTTCGCATAGTGGTAAGGCGTGATTTAAAATTGATATCGGGCCTATTTTGCTTTGGTTGCTTGGCTTTGAGTAGGTTTTTATTCGTTGCTAAGGTATTCAGCCCTCATTTCGTATTCTTTGCTTTATCCTTCCAAATCAGCGGATCAATTTAGAAGTGTGGTTTTTAAAAAAATCTTACATGGTAAGCTTGCTTATTAAGGAAACATTTTGCTTAGAGGTCGGAAACTAATGGATTGCTCTTCTGCTAATTGGAGGTAGATAGCAGCCAGGTAATTCCCGAAGCCGTTGAGGAGTCAGGAAGTGTAGGCCTCGTTTGTTTATACACCTGTGGAATGACCCGTAAAAAGGATCACAATTGAAGCATGTACTTTCTTTTTCCCAACAGCTCACCATTTCGCAATGCGTCGTGCGTCGGCCAACCTCTGCTCCCTCGGTCGAATGTCCGAACTGTGGGGTGGTGTTGAGCAGGCAGCTTTCATGCGCCATTTGACGGCTCGTTTAATAACCCGCTCAGACGCAGTGGAACGCGATCGAGCTTTCAACGATTTTATTGCCAAAATGCGTGCTATTGCTGACCACCTTTTACTACGCCAGGCGAGATTTCGGTATGTTTTTTACTGGTCCATGAGATTCAGCTAAGCGCACGAGTTATCTATTTACCTTATTACTTATTCATCTCACTAGATTCAGCCTCCATGGGGAAGAAGATAATTTGGCGCCAGCTTGTAAGCAACTGGAAGCCTTTCTTACAGCATTACCTTTAAAGGTGATTGAAAAGGAGGAAGTGAAGCTCACTCCTGATCCGCCTGCTTTGAAGTCAAACAATGCTTTCATCACACTACCCTACTCCGTCCATTATGCGAGCCTCGCACTGCCTGCACCATACTACACTTCCCCCGAGTTTCCCGTGTAAGTTAAATCCCTTAAAAATTCACAATTTTGGATGGGAGTCGTCAATCTGCCCGACAAAGTGAAGCCATAAGCTAGTGGAAGTGTCTCGCAACGAGATTTTTTAGGAAAGCTTTACAAATGAGCTCGTAATATCCGCTTATAAGCTCAAAATTGGCCAATTTTTAGTTTTTGGAGGAATGAACACTGGTGCTAGCCGTCACCTCCCCTTCTACGTCAGTTTTCTCAACTGTCTATACTATTTCCCACGTGATTGTCTGATATCAAGAAAAGATTATAACCATTGGTGGAACATAGTTGTTAAGGCTATTGATAGGGCAGTGTCCCTCATCCGCAGGTGGAGCATATGTAGTCTTCTCACGGGTGATTGGTTCCGCTTTTTCTCAGAAGAGCTGTACGGCCTTGCAACACGTTAGTCTTGTGAAGGTTATCCCTCTACCCTTGAGTGATTCATCACCAGATCAAAATTACTAGACCGCTTGTGAGCACTTTAAATTCTATACGGTTAAGCTTGTGAAGAAATTCCATAGTTTTAATTCCAATTTGAGCTGGTTCCATAAGGCGGAAAAGCTGGAATCACACCCACCGGATTCAAACAAGGAATCAGAGTAGCAGAAAAGTAGGGCACTACGGCGTCGCCAAACTATTGTCTATCAGCGTCTGGATGTCACAATAGGTCTGTTCAGGAGGCAAAATCGGAAACTCTTTAGTCCTATGTTACTATTTAATTTACGGTAGGCGGTGATAAGCAACTGGGTAGTCAATTTAAGAACGATGATCTGCTACTTATAATGGCGTCTTAGGCTTCACTGTTACATCAATGCCTTAAAAATAGGAACGTTTTATGATGCAAATCTAACTTGCTTTTCACTTTACACAGTTGAATAGAAGTTGGCCGAAGGTTGTATGCATTTGTTGGTAAGTAGCTGTAGGCGAATAGAACGTTGATTTTATCTGGAACAACTTCAAAGCGTAGAATTTGGTGGATAAATGAAATCCGGACTTCCCACAATGTGGGATGCATACAAACAGCCAAATAATTTGCGTTTGGCAACTATTTGATTTCATTTGCTTTTTTATTGGCCTCACAAGGAAATTTTTTGGCGAGAAAAAGTTCACTTAGCCTTCTGTATTTTGCAAAGAAAGCGTTGCATCTTTTCATTTTATTATGCATTTAGGTACCGAGTATTGTCCAAGCTCCTCAATTCAGCATTCCTTCACACAGCCATTCGGTGAGTTTGTATTTTCTTTTCTGATCAATTCTTGATTTAGAGAGAAAATTTGAGTCCTTGTTCCGATACGTCCTTTCTTTGTTTTTACAGCAAAAGTTTAGCTTTTGCTCTTTCTAAAGGTCATGTTAAAGGTTTTTTTGCTTGATCCTAGTTGTACTTTTATTTTTTGGTTTGTTAATTTAGAGAACAAGGTGGTGCCTACGGTGGTGGCAGCTGTGTCGGTCCCGGTCAATTCGCCTTCTATTCATACAGGTAGAACCGTTCTTTCGTTATACCTCTGTAAAAATTACATTTTCTTAAAAGTTGTCAACGAGGCTTGTAGTAGATACTACTAAAATTAGGCGTAATCTGATTACCTCTAGAATGTCTTTAACTACTTGTTTTCAGTCCACCTCATTTCATTCATAGCAAAAAAACCTTTTTTCTTCGTCATGCTTAATGCTACTGTAATGGAGCATCATTTATTTACTTCAAGTGTTTTGTTTCCTCCTTTCCTCATGCTCACCTTACATAGAAATTATTGAGGCTTTGAAATCTGCTTCCTCTCGCTAGAATTCCAAAAAAATGCATATTTTTGCAGAGATCCCTCGGCTGGTGCGACTCTAAGATTATTTGAAGAATCGCTTGACTTTGCTCTCTCCAACGAATTTAAAGAGCAAGAAATTGTGGAGGCGAAACTTTCTGTATTCCAAGAGGTGAGTTAGATGCATTAAGTCGCAGTGCGAGGGTATTTCGTTTACCCTCCACGGCTTTCCCTTTCCATTTGATGTCGTAAGTGTTAGTAGTCTGTTTACTCATTTACATTAGATTTTTCTGGAATGATGATTTTAGAACATTAGTCTCGAAGCCCTGTGATGCACCCGCAATGACGTGCTGCACCTAAATTTGAGTGATTCGTCAGTAAAGTTAAATTATATATCTAAGGCGCATGCAGATGACACGTTTGCAGCCATACCCTCTCCAAATGCCATGAAAAAAAAATGTTAAGAAGCTGGAATCTCCTCCACCATGTTGGAAATAACTTTCATGATATACAGATTCTTATACTATCATGGAACGATTTACCAACTTCACCTTGTTATTGTTGAGATTGTCATCACCAATGAAGTAGGGGGTGTTTTCGACCTAAAGCTAATGTTTCGATTCTGTTCTCTGCTCAAAATTAGTAGAAAACCTCCAGGAAACCTATGAGGGTTGAGGTAGGAAGGTGCTCACGGGAGGACTCGGAGATGGCGCTTCTAAACAAGAAGAGAACTTGTAATGGAACACTATTTGTTCGAATTACCTATTTAATTTCGTGCTTTCTTTACAATCTTTTGCGATTCCACCTTCATGTTGACGGCGTGAGGCTGCACTCGTATCATCTCTATTAACCGAGTCCCTGCCCTTCTGCGCATTTCTAATGAAGTTGCGTCCATACCGACGGATCTTGTCACTACCTCCGGAGATGACCCAGCGCTATAGTGTTGATTTATCTGACATTATGGACCGAAACACTAAAGTCGATGGGAAAGTTTATAATTAATATCCTCAACTTCGTTGAACAGTTTGATAGTCCAGTTTCGGCTGGATCGCGAGGTCTGCATGTCTTTCTGACGGGTATCGACGATGAGGAGAGACAGAACCAACGTGAACGTCTCTTTACAGTGGACGCGGTGGCGCTTAAACAGGCGGCTCAACGCCTGCACGACCATCTGGTGTGTGCGGAGCGCGTGGGTCGTGCAGTTCTCGGACCCAGGGATGCGAAAATGGAGGAGGACAAAAAGATGGGACAGAAGCAAGAGTGGGATGCGGTAGACCTTTCACAGACTGATTAAATTGTTGAGGCCATTGTTAACTACTTCTGAAGTAAATACTAAATAAATACAATCCTACGATGCGACGAGTTAGAAGTACTTTTGTTGTTGGAAAATCATAGTAGTGGTTTTATCACTGTGGTGTTCTTACGCCAAATTATGCCTCGCCAAACGCAGCCACTACTGTTTTGGCCGGCTGGCTAGCGAATTGCCACTGTCTATCAGCAACTGCGGTGTTATTGTTGCTGAACATAGTGCAGAGCTGGGTGACGTATGTCCCTGAGCGGCCTTTTTGTAGTGCTCGGATGAGGTAGTATGGAGTTTATTAAAGAGGAGATAAGTAGGCAAGAGTAGGGAGCAGCTAACGGGTGATGATGCCGGTCAAGGGATGGTTTTATGACAGGGCACCAGGGATGCAAAATTGAGAGGGCTTGAGCCACTAGTACGAACCAAAAATCAGGTCTTGAGTTACAAATTAAGCCAAGGCTTAGTAAGTTGGGATTGCTGGCGCTGAAATATGCCCAACTGTGCCTACTTGAGGGATAGTATCACGAAGAAGCACAAGCTGCGAGGACTTAAGAATTCAATTACTCGATTATTGCGCTGGTTCCACGAAAATGAGTTTGGGGCTTGTAAAACAATTGTCAGATGCTTTAAGGAGGTTAATTAATATCCACTAGTGAACACTTCATTAGCACGGCTAATACTAGAGATAGTAGGTTTATTGCCTTCCTCTTACTAGGCGAAAGGAGGATTTGGAGATTATTTGATAGCAGGGCAAATATGCAAATCAATGCTTTTGTTAGGTTATTGAAAATTACAAATTTTAGTCGGAGGTGGGACCTACAATAAACACAACGGCGTGCCTAAATTAGATAAAATATTTGCAAACTAGCTTTCTGTGATTTTTAAGGCCTTTTGCAATTTTCGTGTATTTAATTACATTAATGTTTATTAAAGGTGCAAAGTAGTTTTTCGTAAACACAATATTGGACATTTAGCAGCGCAAGTCAATTAACCTTTAATAAATGATTTTTAGTATCTCTACAGGTTGCAATTTTGTTTCATCTTGTACACCCTAATTTTATCACATATCAAGTAAGCGCGTTGATCGAACATACAGATACCATCTGATCTGCTGCCTGGTTGGCTCTGCGTGCTTCCTTCCAATGGGTGGCTTATTATCTTCTTTTGTATCTTCACCACACCCTGGTAGAAAACGAGAGCGCAGTCCAGATGCAGATGATGAAATTCGAGCGCCTTTAATGTAAGTCTGGCTGGGTAAATAGATCATGAGCGCCGCATTTCCTAGGGTTCTAAATGTGCTGGTTTGAGTTTTGATTTTGATTTTCCCAAATATAGAAAACGTATTCGCTCAACCTACGATCACGTTTATCGGGAATTATTTTCCAAGGGCGAAGGTAGCGACATCACAATCTGTGCTCTCGGTCGCGAATGGCCACTTCATCGGATTTATCTCATACAGTCGCCATTTTTCGCCGCTCTCTTTAACGGCGGTTGGAAGGAGAGTGATGACAGACGGATCACTCTTAACCTCCTTGACGAAAATATTACGCAGGAGTCACTATACATCGTTTTCGGCTCCTTTTATAGCGACAATATTTCTCTCACCGACAAAGTAAAATCTAAATGTTTATTCACCACTCATACGTAGACTGTGGTTGGTATTCTTGCGGCTGCAACGTGGTTTCAAATGGATGAGATTCGACATCTTTGTAGCAACTTCCTTTGTCGCCATGTAAAACTGGAGTCCCTTATCCATCTGCATGCATTGGCTGCCAAGTACAACCTACCTGAGCTGAATCAGACTTGCGTTGATTGGCTGGTGAGAAACCTAACCATCCTTCCGGATTGTCCTCCTGTCTTTGAACTGATGAAAAGAATCCCGTGAGGCGTTGTTTTCGTATGTAATAGTTGAGATTGGGGATTCACACTATCTGTGACATATTTTTCCCTCTTTACAGAATTTCCTTGATGCAACCTGTAGTTAGTTGCCCAAAACTAGTTGTGGTTCAATTTGAAGAGGATGTATTCACATGTCTTCTAAAGGTAAGGTGGAAGTAATTATGGTATCAAACTACATCTTTTCTGAGCTGTCTAAAAGATGCAGTCGGGTACTGTATAATTACATAGATTGTTTTAAAGAACCTTATCAGTGAATGACTTAAGGCTGCTTTAATCGATTCCTTATGCTTCAAAGAATGGTAATCGTACGATGCAATAGATTCATTTTTATAAGAATTTGAAATCCCAGTCAAAGAACATTCCTTCCCTACTTGGTGGGGAAAACAATCTATCATTGACTTAGACGATCTTTAAAAAATTATCGACTGACCGTTTATCGGTGTTTAAACATGTATTTGCTCCCTTGTCTATCGGCGCCTATATCCTTTCAAGCAGCTTGTCAACATTTCTGAGCTTGATAGGATACGTGGGGTAGTGTTTTTTGAGGGTATGAATTGACGCATCTGAAGACTGATTCCAAACTTTATTTCGTAACTTTTCTTCATAAAGAGAAACGAGTTTTCTCCCTACATCGTTTTCCTTTCATTTCACTAATCTGTTCAGAAGTGTAGTTCATGTTCCTGTTTCAGGCAAAAAGGTGGAATTTCGGAGCCTGCTTTTTGGAGTAAATAGTAATAATCCTCATGTAAGCTATTTTTCTCTCCGGGTCCTCAAAGAATAATCGACCATCACGGATTCGATGTCTTAATGTTTGTATACGACACTATCTTTTGCCAACTGCTTTCTCCTTTTCGATCCCATTTATTTTCCTTTCAGTAACGTTACATGTAAAATATATGGAAGGCTCAAACTTCCAGTAAACCCAATTCTTCTTTTTATGAGAAGTTAAAACAGATTCCTTTTTTCATTGGCTTTAATTGCACTGAAATTCGAGGGTCATCGAGATTGCCCCGAACATGCATTTCAAATTCATGATTGTGGATATTTTTTTTAGTGGCTCTACCTTAAGCTGAATCCTGAAAAGCCTTACTGTCGAAGCTCACCATTGCTCACTGAAGCATACAAATACTTCGCCAAAGATGGTGAGTTTCCATTATTGTGAGAATTTTTTTCTTCTTGCTTCCTAATCATTGAATCAACAATATATGAGCTGCTTTAAGAAAAAGGTTTTTAAAGTAAGGGGATAATAAAGGGCACCGTTCTGGTAGACCATTGGATATCTAGGCTAGCTAACTCCAGTAGCATGAACTTTCTTGATCACCTGATAATCTAAAATCGGAGGGTAGAGCGCATAAAGGTGAAGCAGTACCGTACTTAAAGATTAACACATACATAGGTATATATAATACATAATTGTGTGCCTTATCAGTTCTGACAAGCTACTACGAGTCATTGTAATAAACCATCTTGAATGCATACTCTTTTCTGTGAGAACCTGATACATCCTTTTTAGCGATCTTAATTACTTTGAAAGGTTACCACTCCTTTTGCATTTTTAAGTGGCATCCTTAACTGATTAATTATTTTTTCTTGTCATACTTGAAAATCGTATTAAACGGCTTGTCTACACAAGGATTTGTCTAACTGTGGCTAGTTCCCAAACGCTCAGAACTCAGAAATTACGTAGGTTGATGGTTTGTGTGAGGATGATCGTTTTGGTAAGTGCTTTCACTCTCCATCACGTATGCCATATAGGCTGAGACAAGCGAGTGATGAGGTGGAAGCGGCTAATAAAGCGATCTTGTCGAATGTATTGCATTAGAACTCGGTCGTATTTACGGTTACTTCTCTTTATCAGTCTATTCAGCAATGTGGGTCTATTAAGTGCCTTTTATCTTAGCAGATAATGCTTTTCATCGTTCACGAAAGTAATTAAACAAATGGGGTGTGTTGAAACGCGTTAAACCATCTACTACCTGTTTTCCAGCTTAGCATTGGCGTCAAATTGAAATAGCTAAGATATGAAACCCGTGGCGTTGTCGCCTTGCATAATTATTGCGTATTGATATGACTGATGGGTAGAGAAATGGGAGTGAGAGGAAGAGTGGGGGAGGGGTGGAGAGGGGACAAAACCAGACGAATATCCATAAAGTATGATTTCATTCCATTTATACATTTTTCAGCTGTAGGATTTCTGGAATCAGCTCAGGGAGCAGCCTATGCACCGGTCTTTCGAGTTATTCGATGGGAACATGTGATCTCCCACTTTCGTTCCACCTGCCAAATTATTCGTGATGGCATTGTGCCTCGATGTAAGATGATCTTATCTTCTTTGTCTCTTCCGTTTTGAAAGAGTTATGTGAAGTGCTTTATTAAAGTTTGAGGTTTTGAGGTTTATAAAAGGTCAAAATTTAATGAGTATTAACTGAGTTTACTCTGTGACAGTCGCCTGCAGTATCCACACCTGAAATGCTGCTTACGTATAGGATTCGATGATGTGACTGAAAAACCGTCAGGACAACTTGCAGAAAAGCTGTCTTAATATCCACCACTCGCTATATCATCGAAACTGGAATTGTCCTTAGTTGATTATTGTGTTTATCGTTGTCGTCATTTAGGCATTTCACGTGTCGAAGTGCGGGATGGTCACGGGGTCATCCTATCCACTTTCGTCATTGGTTGTTTTTTGAAACTGTTCTCCTGGGCAGGTGTCTTTCCGTCTCGGCGCATTATCAACCATCACAATCCAGATGTTGTATTTTCCTACTACCACACCAGTCCCCATGTTTGACTAATCCAGCTAGTAAAATGTAAATATCTCCAAACAGAAAATCTGACATCTCTTTTATTCCCTTGAACTCAAAAAAATTTGTTGATACGATTTGGTACAGGCAGTGATCGTAAATTAATCGCAAACACACGTATCATACCGGACCTTGATGGTAAAATCGGGGCATAACTTACATACGATGAACCCATTTTTTGGGACAGTAGCGGGCTTTCTTGAGTGCAATTACCACTTTAAACGACCTATTTGGACTTGAGCATTCTTTGAACTAGATTAGTGTCTTCCCATTGTTTCTGCGTTTCTTCCACACCCAGCCTGGCTTCAGAAAGCCTACCAACGCCAGTGGCTTCAGCAGTTGCGATGTCATGATCTCTACCTCGCAGCCAATGGCACTACTGCTAATTCCCATAGCAGTTCTCTCATTCGAACGCCACAGCTCTCGAGCCTCCTGGCTGCGGCTGGTGGTGAATCGGCCACCACGGTCGTCACATCGCGTGAGCGTGGAATCGCCGGACCGCAATCCAATGTATCGGCCGAGGTGTTCTGGCGTCGCTGTGAACGTCTTGGACGCCGCATCAATGATGGTGAAGTGCCGTGCACTTGGCGGTGGTCAGGATATCACTTCGGGGTGGATTTACTTTTTAAGTATCGACATAGGTGAGTTTGACCAGTGCTGGAGCTTGTTCTTCAAGGCATCATGAAAATGTTTCTCTTTTTCCGCATTAGAGGTGCTTTCCTCAGTATGTAAACTGGTAGCAATAATGCCTAATAACTCATAAGCTGATCACTAAACTTCAAATCTGACATTTTGCGTGTTAGTGTCATTTGTCAATGGCAGTCGATTGAAATAATTGAAGAACAGGTGATGTGTGATCGGAGTAGGGCAACAAAGAGGCAGGGAGGCAAAAATTGATTCTACCTTTGCTTCTGTCGCATATTTCCATACACTACAGTTTGGACATTCTTGAAATAGTCTGAAGTACCTATTGGCAGTCCAGCACAACTTTTCGAGAATCCGTTTGCACAAAATGGGCCCCACAAGAGAAGGTGACTAATGTGTCCGCCATTTGCGTGTAAACAACTTTCGGTTTTTCTTACTTCTTACAGGCCTTTGTGTGTATTATGTCGCCATATTCTGTGTAGAAGAAATATCAGAGTCGATAAAATATTTCTTGAAAGCATTACAAACGTTTAACAAAAGGTAGATCATATTTGCGTCGAAAAGGAGTTGCTCCTTTATAATGACTACTACTGCTAAGAAAAGCTTAGGGATTCAGTGTGCCAGGTGGCAAATCTATGGGCGTGCCCTACGAACCCATCAGTCAATAGTGCACTACTGACAGCTAATGAGAAAACAGGACTTTTCTTTTTCTCTAATTATAGACTTGACAGACAGGCACCCACTTGTGCTATTGATGTGATTTCACACAAAAAATGAGTGACTTACTAAGGTGACACAACGGAAAAAACTAGGATCCCAACCATTCAAAATCGGTACCTGCGGAAGACAAGCATTCAGACTTCGTAAGAGCTCTTCGCTGTATCCCCGAGCCAGCTGGGAAGTGTTGGTATTTCTTTAAAGTCTGTCATCCTTGACTAACTTCACTAACCTTCGGCTAACGAAAGTTGCGTGAGCCTTCTGGAAAAAGTAAGGCTATTTCAACCTTGTTGCACAACCTTGAACATGGTGTTGTTGGTGCATTCCTGTTGCCATCGCCATGTTTTCCTGTTTCCAGAATGTCACAAATATGCCAGCTGTTTGTGTGTGATTGTATCCTTCATTTTTCTGAAACGCGAATACTGAGGCATAGCTGAACAGCAAGTTCACAGTGGCAGGTGCTGCCACAACATGCCGCCTAGTGTGGTGCGCTCTTTTAAGATCTAGTCAAGTTAAAGAAGGAAAAAAACAGCGCACTCCTTATCCACCCAAACATCATCAATCTCTCGGGGTGGTTTCTGTGTTAAGGTGATTTCATCGTAGATAAGCGCGGGTAAAAAGTCAATTTTACCTTCTTGGTACTGAAAGCAGGTTCTATGACCTGGTAGGGTTTTCTACTAGTGATTTGCGCAGCGATCATTTGTGAGGTCATACGTATCCCTGTCAGTGGCCAGTGACCTCACGTGATGTATTATTGAAATAAATGCCTGCAAGTTTGGGGGTTCTATTTATAGCGCTACCCTACGAGGAAAGAAGAACAATTGCTGCGAGCAATTTGGTTCATCTTCACTGTAACGACGTATCTATCATGAGACCATCGCAAACTAACGAAGGAACACCACTGTGGAATTTTTGCCATCTTTCTGATAGTAGTGACAACCCGAAAATTTATCGCCAGACAGAATTTATCTGGCATTGTATGAAGTTTTAACTGATCGTACGTTGCGAATTTCAACGTTCTTTCTGTACTATTGTCTTCAATCCCTATCAAGTGTGGTTGGAGAGAGGAAAAGTCAAAAGACCGGATAACTAGAAGTGCCAATGCAAATACGATCTTTGCATTTCTGATGAACAGTTTTAGATTATAGGTGGGTGATTGCTTGAGGTATGTCTTGAAAGGTTCTAATATTTTAGGGCGAATATCATAGTAAATAACTCGCATTTTTCCTATCTAAATTAAATAATTGGTGGTCACTATCAGAGGCTTATTGCGCAAATATTCAGAGGGTAAGGGATGGTGAGCACGATGATGGTCGGAAGCGTACCACCGAGACACTGATATTGACGATGCTGGTAGTGATCAGTTGAGGTAACCCATTCTAAGATGGCCAACCGTTTTGACAAACCTTTCTATTTTCAAGGCACTCTTTGACATATGAGGAAACAAAGAGTTTTGCTTTGATTTGGACGCCCTTGCATTATAAAGTACGATTTTAAGTTATCATCGAAGCTCCTTTTATGAAACCTGCTGGATCGGTTACAGCGAGGAGAACTATCTGGTGAAAACGCCCCGAAGTGATTTTAATGTGACTAGCTTAGAAGCCAAGAAAGGCTGTTCTGTGAACCACCCCTTTCTTTTGGTGACAGCTACACTTCTTCCGTCTTTTCTTTAGAGCCTTCCACGTGGTTCGCCCGACAGATTCACTACATTCTGAAGGTGTAGTTTGTACATCCCGAAAGTACAACGTGAAAATCGTCCTAACGGTGATTTGTACAGCTGATGAAGACTACTCCCCTTCGTCTTTTACCACCGTAGCCATCGATAATGTTGATAGTGCTCCAGCTTCTTCTCCTACCGCCGTTGAAGCGCTTGAAACGGAAGAATTAGCGCCGGTCGACGATGATGACACCGCCACCACCGCTGGCACTGACACTGCAGAAGGTGTGACTGTCGTCAGTCATGGAGATAACGGTGAACGGTGTAGACGTCCACGGATATGCACCTCGGAATTGAAGACCCTTCGAATGGTGGAGAATGCGCCTTACGAGTTGCTTCGTCTTCCAGACGACTTCCTATTTCCCGTCGTAGTGTCAGCCAATATTCTTCGATATGACCCTTCAGCACCGCGGTAGTCTGTGTCGTACGGATTTACATGCATGCGTGGCTGCAAATGGCAGTTTGGTTGCTTTTCCTTGTGATATCGTTGCCTACTTGTCAGTTTTCTAAGCATACTGCCTTTCGTTCACTCCATCCATTCGAACATACTATTTCTGATTTTGTATAATAAACTGATTTTATGACACAATGCGAAATTTTGTTCTCATTTGGGGGCAAGTGTTTGCGAAATGCGTTTGTTTCATGATGCGGTGGAGCGCTGTAAAACTTGCCCCTGACACATGGATGGGATCATGTTACTGAAGTCCAATAAGTAGCGTTGTTGCGTACAAATAAAAGCGATCCAAGACCTGCCATGGCTTACATTGCTTATCCTGGAAATGCATCGGACTGTTGCTACGGTGCGCTTTGTTGTGCTGTCTTACCTACCTCTTGTTTTGAATTCTTGGGTCATAAAATATCTATTAAACCCCATAGATGTAGTTCAAGTACGCCGAATATTCGAATTTGAACTCCGCCTCGAAGGAACCGTTTTGCGAAGATGTGCCAACAAGAAGGAATCAAAATATTTGATTCTAAAGATCTGTCTTCAAAATCAATGGTGCATCATGTCCCATAGGACTCAGTTTTTGAGGATGAAAGGAGTGTTTCATAGGATAAAAGTAACTGTGGGTAGTACCTAACGGGAATAATAAAGTAGTTGGTTTGCACTTGCATCGACCTGAAAAGCCAATGATAAGTCTTCCCAACAGCGCAATTCTCTAAGCTAGGAGACAAGTGGTAAAGTTGATTTCACCTCGGATGCAAGCGAAATAACATGAATAGTGAGAAGAAAAATTCCGAGTACCGTACCGTATCTACGTCAAACGTGTATCTCCGCTTTCTAATGTTTGGACACAAAAAAACCGCGTACAGTTAACAAGTCCCCGCGTGTTTTAACATGTCACTTCACTTAGTTCAATTACCTAATCAAGTAACTTGGCACGATTTTATGCAGGTTTTTAAATTCGCTCGCCAATGGCATGAGTAGTGGCAAAGCATGATTGTTTGAACGCCTCTTTCTGTAGGAAAGTGGGAAACAGGAGGGCTGAACCGGTCGCGCTACAAGAGGAAAACCATAGATTGATCCCTTCAGGGTGAACAACCTTCGACTTCCCCATTAATCAGTGCTTTCTTGAATAACACTGCTTCAACAATGCCATATGTCATCTACAAAGAAGTCTTCTTGATTCGGAGGCTTCGAAACCGGAGGTGGAAGGGGATTCTGTGGAAATTGCCACATACCATCTACGGTATGAATGAAACATGGTATGTTCAATCAACGACATGCGAGCTCAATCACACCAAATTCCCTCTACTTTTAAAGCCTCATGGAATTTAGCTTCTTTTTAGGTTTGATTTATGGACCAGAAAATTGCTGAGCTTTTTTTAGAAAAAATACCGTTTTAATCGCCATTTTAGCAGATGGCAAGGGTTTGGGAATAAACCGCGTTCCTTCATAGGTGGTTCCATTTTGGGGCGATTATTTGAGTCTGTGTGCTAATTGCTTGAGAAGTGGGACCCTGTTTTTTTTATTGCAACCCATCTGTTTATGAGATCTTGGGATCCACCTTTACAAACCACATGAATTGCCCAAGAAGAAAACAAGCACCGTACGCATAAACACCAGGTAATGTAAGGCGGGTGTGCTTTCTTTCCGTGTCATTAGTGTCTCAAGTAACTAAGTTTGTAGGAGAAAGAGCAAGCACATCTTTTAAAAGAACCGATTAGTGTGCTTCCTTTACGCAACAAAAAGTGTTTTCACCATAGAGGAAGGAAAAAAAATAGAGGGGAATTCGAAGAAATAATAGACCTGGAATTGTTATCCTATGAATGACTGAGCTTTAAGAAACTCCTAACATCTGTGCCACTTTGTCGTTCTGTTGGCGTCACTACCACTTCATGATTTTACCCAGGACATTTAAAACCTTAAAACCTTGATAAAATTTCTCTATAAACAATTGCGAAATTCCTTGTTATTTTTCTCAATAAATTTGCATACCATGCTTCGTAAACGTGGAAGAGTTCTATTAGATTTTTCGCTATCATCACACTCAATTCGAAGCCAAAATCATTCATGACATTTCGGAGGATTAGTTGGGCAAAGCGGATTTCCTCGCCCACCCTCCACTTCCACCTCATCTGCAGAATCCTTTGTCATTGTGCTGGTCAACTTTTGTGCTTGCACAGAAGAACTTGCATTTGCTTAAGATCAAAAGAGCAGATGTGGAAAATATTTCAGCGACTCACTGTCCTCCCTGGATGGATACAATAAATATGAATAAAGGATTCTCACTGCCTTGTTTGTGGTGCGAAGTGACTTTGTGCTTTAACGTTCACGAAACGTGCAAACATGTCATTGGCTAGCCTTCAGTGATTCACTCGCTGTACAAGTAGAAGAAGGAAGTACTTGAGAAACAGCCAAGTCTAGTGAATCATTTGGAGGATAAGGCTAAAAACTCGTATCCCTCACCCCACAAAATTTACTGTTGAGAAGATTTTTAGGTTATGGTAGGAAGAAATATTGTCTCATCCTCCTCCTGTGGGGTCCTTGATGATGGTCCTCCACGTGGTGATTGTTGATACTAGGCCATCGCTTTTGAAGTAGGCGCACAAAGATGACAGCGAAACGATGGTTGACTGGGCCTGGATTTGCTAGGATCCAGGCTCTATGTATGATTACCTTGAACCCTGTGGTGCTTCCCACCCGATAACCAATGGATAAAGACTTTAGTATGTCTTTGTTGCCTATATGTGTGAGCAATCAAGGAGAGGGATACGCCGTGTATGCGCGGGCCTGACGGCTGTCTGCATGTCCGTCCGTTCGGAGCAGCTTAGTAGTCTCAATCACACGTAGTTGTAGTGACTAAATGACCTTGCCCGGAGAATGAGTATCAGTACAGAGGAAGTGTATCTCAAAGTGATCTGATCTTAGCCAATCGGGAAGCGGTAAGTACAAACGCGACTTCTAGAATGTTTAAGAATTTAAATACGGAAGCGAAAATCTTGAGAATCTCGTTTAGGAGTGTTTTTCTGGAGTCGGGGGATCTACAGTACTGCTGTATACTTTTAGACACAAAAAGGCCAAAATTCGTACTTGCTTTGTATGCTTTGTTCGGAAAGAATGGTGACAGATCGCCCATACATTGCTTGAAGGAATGAAAAATTAAGGTGTAATTATAAATACAAAAGGCCTTATAGATGTTAATTTCCTCTACATTTTGCAGTATTATCGAGTTGCTGCTGAAGCCACCGAAGCCCATGTAATGATATTCAAGATGGAAGAATCGTAAAAGTTGATTAGCATTTTGGGAGGCTAAAAGGCACAATGGACTGAAGTATATCCACAATATGATCTCTAAGTGTCAAGATACTTTGATTTCCGTTTTAATGACCATTCAGAAATTGGGGTTGGGCGACACCTGGCGAAGTGGCTTCATGAAGTGAAACGTCATAAATAGCAATCTTTGTTTGACGACGCCAAGTGAAAAGGGAGAGGTGGAGGTTTGTTTGTTACCAGATGGCTCAAGTTCCAAAATTCTTTCTTTCATCTACCCTTCCTCTCATTGTCCAGCCCCTCTCCAAGCAGGAACAGGCTACATGTATTTGAATACAATAAAGGCAGTCAGTGTCGCTATTTCACAGGTAGGAAGTACCATAATTCCTATGCTACTGCTTCAAATAGGGAAATAAGACTACGGCTCTACATTTGTTATCCTGTTTACAAATGCAATGCAGGTATTCTTGAACCCCTGAGACCTTGTAAATGATATCTTTTGGCAAATCGCCTAACTCTGTTACCACCATTCTGCACACCTCTATATCCTCCCTAGGGAAGTGCGGTTGATATGTAGCATTAAACAATGTTGGAAGATGTATATCGTGGACGGAAGGCTATGCCATTCAGGCGGTGATGTAATTTGTAAAGCTTAAGTAAATATTTCTGTGCTGCAGTTCATTAGCTGTCGCTAGTTTCGAAAAAAATTTAAGCGATATTTTAAGGGGACTTAACAAAATTTCGGCTAAATTGCACCATTTAAAAGTCGATAAACCTTGCAACACATTTTCGATGGCGTGTATCTGCCTCAGTTGTACACCAGGCAATCATAGGATCTGTGAGTGTGGTCGCTGTCTGTTAATGATAGCTGTCAAGTGGTCACAGTGATGACGGTAGTGGGTGTAGGACGTCATTCTTTAAACGAGTTCGCAGGTACGCGGCAATGGCATACTCGAGAGTAGTCTGCTTGATGGCGCTATAAGAGAGCAATGCACCATGTGGGTGCTGGTGAATTTGCAGCAATCCGCACACGTGGTGAGTGCCACACGATGCCGATGGCGATCGAGGTACAAATGATTTATATGTAGTCTTTCTATGCCTTCTCCAACTTACAGCACTTTAGCAGACCCAAAGGACACTTCTCACACAAATATGGGCACAAATCGCCCCCTCCTCCGTTGAGAGGCAAAATGTAATGTAACGATTGTTTGCCTCAAGCTCATCAAAGTAAGCAACTTAGAAGGAATGTGGAGACTGCAGTGATTCAACTCACAGGTATGCAGCATAAAGTGAAGCTCAATCAGGAGGGTTGTGCTGCTAATGCTTCTGTAACGTCTTAAGCGCGGGTATGGCTTGTCATTCCTCTGACGCAATGGATGCTTATACATTGGTTAAAGATATTTACGCTAGCACTGATAGCTGTACATCTGCGACCACTCTCTGGCTTCCCTTCACCCTCCATATCAAAGGAAGAAAAGTCCTTTGTAAGCATTTTTCCGTATCTACTTACAGCGTGTGTGTCGGTTTCCACCATTGTTTGCCTGATTAGATAGAAAGCGCCACTTAGTGCTTCCGCCGTTGTTGCTCAATCCCCGTCCTTGAACTTGCTTGATACCACCCCTGATCCCCGTCCTATAGCACCGCCTAATGCAAAAGTCCAAACGCATGAGTAAAGAGCTTAAAGAGCAGTCATTGAATGCTAGGGGACAGATATGCTTTGACCTTTTCAGCAGAACAGCATTTCTTCAACTACTTCTTCTCCACCATCTGATTCTTCCACAGAACCTTTCTTTAAAATGTAGAGACCCACATTTTTGCCACATGGTTTTTATTATGCTATTAAATGGACTATAAAAAGAAAAGTCACCTCGAAGTTCTATTGTTGGCATCAAAGGACATCCATTTATGCCGAATTCTATTTAGTAACTGACTGGGGTACAAATTTACACCTCAGTTTTACTCACTTTCCCCACTCCTGAGAGTCCATATCATCTCCTAGCCCTTCGCAGAGACAACTTAATGGAATAATTTTACTCTCAAAGTTCTTGCTACTCATTCAACGAAGGAACTTAAGCATCGGTCTATATGTTGGACAAAAAAATTTGTACGCTCTGGTGATGCCTGTAACCCAAGTATTACGTTACTGTTCGATGTCCCAAAGGCGCCAATTTTCGCGACTAAATTCCTAAACATTCTAGAAATTGTGCTCTTGCTAAGGTTCTCCTAATTTGTTGAGATCATGTACGGGCACACTATAGTTGGATTAATACTAGCTACAAGACCGATGTTAATCAGCCACTTATACCGCCACAATCCAACAAATTAGCAGGCCCATGCGTGTAGGTAGAATCCCTTCTGCCTACACATGGTCGTCGGCAAGCACTGACATCGACATCAAAGTCTTCGAGCATTTATTACTCTGGCTGGGGTCTCGATGGAATCTACTTCATTACAGAAAGTTAAGTTGTCTGATCCCAAAATCCATTGAAAAGACAAATCTAACAGGGTGCAATTCACAAGTGGGCATCGATAAAGATGACCTGTCTATTCATTGGAGCCAAGACCATTTGGTTGGAGTGAGTACACCACATTGAAAGTGCATTTCTGTAATATTTTTGCGTCGTCTTCGGGCAAAGCATTGTTTTCAGTTCTTCTTCCAGCGAGTTTCGTAAAAAGTGACAAAACTGATCACCCAGCTGTCCTCTTTAGGAAGGAGTCCGTAGTAGGTAAATAATTAGATATAGGAAGTTCTAGCACTGTGGACTAAATTAGTAAATATTTGCTGAATAAAAGTGGGAAATCACAAATACGCCAGAGGCCGATAAAATGTTTACATGCTTAAAAATTGCTTATGCTTTGGTTGCTGCCTTTACTTTCCATAATTTTCATTCATCAATTAGCGAACCGATTGCACAGTGTATCCACATTATTAAGTGGCACTTTCTTTTATCCATCCCCCACTAAACACAACGAAAGCCTTACAGGACAGTTCCTCATGACAGTTCAAAACAGTACAACGAGAAACCTCTAAGGTGGTGCGAAGAGATGCCACTAAAGGTACCGCTTCAGTAATAAAAAAACTCGGAAAAGTGATTTACCACTCGCTGCCGCACTGTACTCATCAAATGCCTTTTATGTGTACGGTGACATGTTAGCCCAATCTGGTGACGCAAATTGGTTAATTTGCTCTAAGATGCCAAGGTACAGGCGTTAAGGCGTAAAATATTTAATCACCAGTGGCATTGGCAATGGCGACCACCTTGCAGCTGGTTCACTCGTGCCGCTGGTGGATCTCCTAAGTTTCTTCTGTGCGTCTCTGTCTGCTTCTCCTCACACTCCAAAGCGTGTAGTTCTCAAACACCATCATTTGCTCTGCAATTATTAACAATAACAAACATAAAATGGGTAGTGAATAGTTGTGCAATCTGTCCTCTCTCCTGGTAGGGCAATAATGGCTTTGTTGTTTAATTTCTTCCAAATGTCCTTTTCGTAAATTAACAAATATTTAGTGAAGGGTATTATCAACGGATTAGCTATTACCTTCGATAAGTGATAGAGAAAAAAACACCCACTTTAAAGTAGTGGTGCATAACCGGTGTAATGAAATATACCAACATTCTTTAGAATTAATTAATGTACATTGCTTTGGCAGGTAAAGCGAGGGCAGGCGGAGGTTGTCTCCAGAAAAGCGCATAAGGGGAGCAGAGTATAAAAGACGGAAGAGGGAACTTAGGGTGATGCATGGACATTTGCTGTTGTTGTCACATTGATGACAACTTTCACTTAGTTGTGAAATAGTTTACGGTTTTCAGCTGCACTCGAAAATGGAAGCATCACGCATGGACGAACAGCCATTGGAATACCCTTTGCATACTTAAATATTTGGAACTCGTTATATCTCCTTTCTCTTTCTTTCTCCATATCTCTCTTTTCTCGATAGCTACGACCTTTTTGGGCGGGAGAAGTGAATGCATAGTAATACCAGTAGATGATACGGAGTGTGGAAACATCTGGTACAAAGTCACAGTAAGAGGTTGTACTTCGCTCGCCATTAGCATGAGGTGTTGCTGAAAGAAGAATGGAAGTTTCAAAACATCCAACAAGACGCAGGATTTCCAGGTAAACGCACCCGGTTAACAAAGATTTATCAATGGCCAAGTAGGTGGCTATTGGGTTCGGCCATAGCCGCATCAAAACACGGGCTTCTAATTCCCCATTATATTGGGGCAATTTGGACGTCAACAACCAACCCTCTGGCAAACCACCATTTACTCTCTACCACCAGACCGCTCAAACAGTCACAAGTGTAGTGCTGTCTCCCATCCCCTGGCCATCATTCGCCGAAGCACCAACCAACAAAAATAATGCTCAAATCAAAGCTTACGGTGTTCTTCTATAGGTACTTTTAGTTATGAATGCTCCTTCGCATGAAAATCCTGTCCAAGGCAGCTGTCGTAAGACCTACATGTAGTGATACATTTCCTAATGGCACTGCATTTTACAAGAAGGAAAATTAATTCCATCAAAGTGGTGAATATATTAGCTGTTTTAACACAGTTGGACAGATATACTAACCCACTGTTGTTGGGTGCTTTGATTTGTAGTTGATGTCCCGGCTCCGGATGGCTTCAGCGAATTGTGCCAGTAACCACCATGACAATAAACTGGCGGGATTACCAATTTCGTGACGATTCTGCCATTTCCTATATAAGATGACCACCAAGGCAGAGCTTATAAATAGACCTTAGGGAAGGATTCCGTTTAGCAAAACAGTGTTTTAATCCAGAGAAGGTACGTTCAATTTAAACATCTCAGCTTTTTTATATTGCTCGAACCACATGAGAAAGTTGTCTTGCATAATGAGAGATGAAATGTTGCAGTCTACTGTCAGTGATCTCGCGTTCACTTTTCCCACTGATTTATTACCTTGTCGTTGTAGCGTAAGAGAGGTACTTATGGATCAGAGCACGGGTCCTATGAAAAACACAGTGTATAATCCAGCACACAGAACTCCAGCTGCAGGATGGATGGACAACTATCTGAATCTATCAAAGTGTATGATTAAAGCTAATGAGAATTTTGAGGGATTGATCAGAAAGTGGGGTTGGAACATCGAGAATGAACGACTTTCCTTGTCCGGTCGCATCGCTGGTCACCACTTTTTAGGCAACTCAGAAGATGTTCCATCAACAAGTCATCCGTTCGCCATTAGTGAGATCTTAAAGGCGAGTATGGAAGAAAATAGCACTGCTAATGTTGTACAAACAAGAGAGCCTCCGATTTATGCTAATATTGCCGAAAAAGAAGTGCCTGGAATTCAAAGGAAAAGGAAACCACTCATTGTCTACAGATCGGAACCTCACGATGCTAGTAAAAGAGTTCAAGTTTGTACATTTCTTTATTTTGCATGCTTTACGTCGGCATCATTGATAACGCTTTACCCTTTTTCCTAGGAGATGCTGGAACGTAGAGATGCCAGCCTAAGATACATCAACGATGGAAATGCTATCGTCAATCCCTTTGCAGTTAGCAAGAGAGAGCAATTGAAATTCCTCAGGAATTCATTCTGTAAGTTTCTCAACTAAAAGATAATCCCATTATCACATTGGCTTCTGTTGCTCCCTATAGGCAGGGCGAAAGCAGAAGGCGGTTACGAGTGCGCGGTGTGCCGACAAGAGAGGTGGCTCCTTCGAGACATGGATAAACACTTGCTGGGTCATAGTGACAGCAAGTTCTACCTCTGCGTGAGGTGTTTCAAGGGTTTCAATGACACCTTTGACATGAAGCGTCACAATCGTAAACACACTAGCAAGTCTCCACTTCAACCTTCTTTTGTTTATTTGTGTGCAGTGTTACTGGGTAAAACTGCATTGTGCCTAATTTTGCTCCTTCTTCTATTCCTATGCTGCGACGCGATGGGGAAACAGATGTGCGTCCATACGCATGTGCACAATGCTCGTGTCGGTTCACCCAACGCTCCCTGTTGGAGGGTCATCAGAGGTGCGTACATCAGATGACATTGAGATATGGACGAAATCAGCGTCGCGAGGAGTTGCGCGTTTGTGAGGCCTGTGGATTTGTTTGTGAGAACTACACGACACTGCTCGAACACACAGCGTGCCAACACCCCACCAATCAGGACAGCATCACGAAGTTAAGAAGAAGAATTAATAACCAAGTTCCATGACAAGCCAAACAGAACAAAGGTTCTCTAACTCTGTAAAGACTTAAAACAACAAACGGTTGCTATTTGTCGAAAGTTTCTTCTCGAACAGGGTGATTTTACTATTCTACTTGGCCCCTGAAGCATCCTGATATTTAGCTGTGGTGAGGTGAGGCAGCTAGTCATGTCATCATGACGTGCTGACTCACAAGGACGATGAGGTGTGACACGTCTTTGCTTGAGACAAAACCCCAAGTCACGCGTCTGATGGATTAATGCTTGAGCTTAAATTAGGACAAAAAATGGAGAATAAAGCCTTTATTGTTCGTGTTTTGGCACGCTTCAAGGAGGCCACTTGAGGTTAAACAGTGTAACTTTCGTGAGCGACAGAGCATGTTATGATGTCGCTCTTTCTACCAATAAGTAAAATTGAAACTTTTTGTGTAAATGCCAAATATTACGGTCTAACCGCATGTCCTCCTTTGCCAATTGACCTCAGGAGACCTTAAAATCCCGACTGTTCAACATGCTGGATTTTGTCTCGCGGTCTCACCCGTAGCGTGTCCAGTTGTCTGACAAGTACCGTTTACCTGGCCAAAACATTCTGACTCAGTGGAGATGCCGGGAGCTCTTGACGTGCCTTTTCATTGGCACGAACAATATGGAGAGGAACGAAGACATTTTGAAAGACAGACTGAATACTTCGCCTCTTGAGTGAGCATTATCACGTGCTGCACTTCGTCATGCAGGACCAAACGCTCCAAATCCCGCGTTCGTTGGAAAGTGCCTGAATTTATGCATGCAGACAAGGTAGAGAGCGACGGAGTGTGGTGCAATTTACTACTATTATTCATACTTAGTAGTGCCATTCATGAATGTTTTAGCTGCTTCCTGCTTCTCCTCTCCTTTCCACCCATCCGTGGCAATCAGTGGTGAAACCCTAGACGTGGCTATATGGGATGATTCACAAGGGTAGAGGAGTGCTGGCTGTCACTATCACCTGACAGTTTCCTACCCCTCCTCCTCCAACCGTCGATGCCAGTGTTGAGAGGAGGTGTTTCATTACGACTTCGCTGCTGTGTTGTCGAACTGCCAGACCAGCATAATAAAATTCATAATTAGCGATTCGAATTCACCACAGCAGTCTCAGCAAGTGGGAGTGGCAGGTTTTCCAGTCTGTCACAGCAAACGTATCAAAATTCGTCATTTTATTTACCCACTACAGCTCAATGTCTTGCTGATTCTACTCGATGGATAAACACCGTACTCATTGCACACCAGAAGGCAATTTGTGATATTGTTTAGAAGTAACGATGTCCCCTTCATGATAAGGTAGTAAAAGGAAGCTGGGAGAGTATTTGAGCAAGCAGCAGAGGAAGTGGCGTACCAAATGACGTGATCGCGCAGTATCTTTCTTCCAATTGGCCATCAATGTGCAAAACGCGGAAGTGATGGAAGGCCTTCCTGATTGACTGATCTGGCGACACTGCACTCTGTCTTACGCGACTTGAATTGTGCGACCACACTTCCATCCTACTGTCGCAAAATTTCATCAAGCCGTTTTTAGGACAATAGTATGACAACCATTGCTTGATGTTACAACTTAGACTCCTTAGAACTTGATTCAATCTAAAACTACGGAAGCTTTAACCAAACACATATACATTCACTGTATTAGAAAAAAGTACCTGGTTATGGCTTGTTTGAAAACTGCGAAGAACAAGTTCGCCAGGATACGAATCACTTATACTTTGAAAAGGTCTAATTTTAGGCAAAGGTTACAACTTTTCAAATTGACAGCATTTCCACTTTTTAATTCGTTCCCTTCATCTGACAAGTAGGCCTCATTAAATGAGATTCACTGCTCCAGAACTCATTTAAAAGTCAAAATCTTTTTTCAGCGAAACCGGTGCACCTTTGCCGTGTACAGAATTGTGCCCTTTTGTTGCAGATTCCACCTTTTGAAAGCATAATTGTAGCAAACTACTTTAATAAAGTAAAGTAGTCGATATAATTAAGGAACGCAATTATAGAAACAAGAATTCTGTCTCATTCATGCAAAGTCGTCATTGTGAAGTGATTCAGGTTGGGTCTTCTGAGAGTTGTGCCCCTCAATATCCCCAACTTATTGTCAGAAAATTCGCTTCTACGTTCATGTATTGTGCAGCCGATCACTCCCCCGGCTGAGCTCACAAATTCTGAAGCCAGTTATAAACAATTTGTAAAAATAAGGTTCAAATTGTTGTAGTATTAGGAAGCTCTACCTATTGCAGTTAGCAAAATTGTAAGTTGCTGCAAAATTTGTAGATCTCTTCTTGAAAAATCTGACACGATTTCAACAAAACCCATTCTAATAGAACTTGTGCATAACCATCGCACATTCTACCATGTTCATTAAGATTAAATAAGTCTGATGCTGGTTTGCTGGCAAGGCTTGGAAGAATTAGAAGCTACTTAGTAAAATAGGGGAATGAAGGCACAATCTAGCCTCTTACCAGCAATCAACAAAGTGATATCCACATGTGTTTTACCGGTCTCGGCAGCATTCACAGGTGGCGTGTCCATCGGCCATAAGAGGGGCTAAAATGTCCACATTACACGGAGTTGATAGTTGAAGAAGTGGCTGGTAAGTGGTGTTATCGGTGTGACCGACACTTGCTCCATGGTCGAGCAGGATGGGAACAACTCCACGTCATCTGTTAACGCAGCCTCCCGTAGTGCATCGTTTAATTCTCTGCTCGGATCTTCCATCAAAGACCCATACTCTAAGAATGAGTTTATTAACTCCACTTTATCCTATGGCAACAAAATAAAGTAAGTATTCCAAAGCGCCAATTTGTAGGCGTTTGTTTGGTTAAGGGTATAAGGTGAGAGAAGCCGAGAGGAAAATTTATTTTCCAAATTTAAGTATCAAACTCTACCAACTTTGTCATGCAGTGGAAACCAGTTATTTTCCCAAATACATGCAAATGCAAAAGCTGATACTTTCGTTTGGTTGAGAGTCGAATGTGGTAACAGATTGTTGTTTTAAAAAACCGAATTCCAATTGAGGGTGTAAGGAGGATATACAAATATATGTTCCTGTTCGACTGAGGCACATTTCGCAACCTGTCAAGGCTTTAAAGTGAACAAAACTGCACATAGTCGAAAAGGAAAACAACAGATGTGTGAGTAAACCAAGCACATCAAGCCATTTACATAGATTGCCACTGTACATCACGACATTAGGCAGCTCGCAATGCAGCTTGATGGGGAAACCCGCTCGACTAGTCGATCTCAACTAGTAATGACTACCTATTTTCGGGTGTTTTGCACAGCCTAAATTGTTATTATCTACGACGCGTACTTAGCAGACATATTATTAACTTATGACTTCCCAAAATTAAACTGAAATGTGTAGTGCTTGTAATGCAAGTAGTAGAAATGTTGGGTCGTTTAAAAGTGGTTAGCGTTTAGACTGCAATGACGCAACCCTCATGGTCTCACATAGTAGTTTGTTAAGACCCTATTCTAACATAATTTTTTGTCTCTTTACCATCATATTTTATTAGCGTACAGCCAGGCATTTAAATTTCAAGCTAGACGAACTGTTTCCGTTTTTCCGACATGAGGAATACAAATCAATATGATCGTTCACGAGTGAAAGTAAGCATGGCAAAATCATAGTGCAGAAGTTTGAACAATACATTTTAACACTAGAAAATGGAGCTATTTGGAGCTATTTGTAGAATCCACCTTGTCTTCATACAAGTTCTACCGTTAAAATTAAACTAGTTACGTGGATTATTATCGTTGCCATTTTGACTGCTGATTAAATAAAACGCCTTTGCATAAGGGAGGTACTAAGACAAGTTTTTATGCCAAAAATAGTACTAAATACTTGCGGGAAACTTTGGCATCACAATGAAGCCAAATAGAAACAGGAAATCTCAAAAAAATAAGTTGACGTGTTATGCTTTTTGTTGTCGGTTAGTTAAGGCTGTATTTTTCCTCAAAAATCCAGCAGGCATCTAGATCAATTGGTGTAATTCTGGGAATTGTACACCGTCATTAAGACCTTGCAGACTTGTAAAAATAAGCCGTCGGTAAGGTAACCCAGCTTTGTTAGTAGCCGTGAGGGTAGAGTGACAACTTCAGGGGAATTGCGTAAACTGGCGATTCAATATGTCACTGCATGCTGATTGGCTCGGCGTGACCTTGAAACCACTGCTACAGATATATGTAGGCGACAAGTTGCCGCATTCCTTACCTGCGAGGCTTGCTATATCTGCAGATCTCTTGTGCCAATCGACAAAAACACCGTAAGCTTTTGTTTAATTCATTTATTTCCAGCTGAAATTTCGATGACCTATTACTCGACCCCTATATGGCTCTTTTCTTCCTCCTGCTTCCCTTAAATGGGTGTGTTTTTAAAATACATTAGACTCACATAAGTGGCACTCAATTTTTGCCCAAAGGAATAATGAAATTTGAGGAGCTTCCCCTTCTCTTTCGTAAGCACTAAGATTTTAGTCCTATGTTTTCCAAACGGACACTTATGGTGATTTTGTCAATCCATTTTTGAGAAATTGTAAATTTGTACGACTCGTGGTGTATAGTGCCAAGATGCGACGACATTTTATTCTCCTAGTCCTTCATGTATGCGTAATCAAATGAATAAAACATACCTCATAACCTATATTCATACCAGGGAAGTGCTCATGCATTTGTGTTGTGGAACAAAATTCATGAAGCGTGCAGAACTTTGAAGCATTGTCAGCCCGCTACCGATAGCAATTTATCAGAGATTGCAGATGCCATTATGTTGCAGTCTGCGGGATGCGGAGATGCCTCAATTTCGTCTATTATAGACTGTTGAGGAATTGCGCAGAGTAGCTGGTAATTGTATGCTAACTTGAATGAAAAGTCACATGAACAGATGCAACAAAGCCACAGAAATTAGCGAGCTACTGAACACGTGACTGCGTTTTACGTCTACCAATGAGAATTACGTGCTACTTGCAGACACACTGACGACGAGTGCTAATCATAGAATCACTGCTTAACCCGTTACAACAGGCACTTGGAGATGAGGCTAAATGTATGTACTGGAAAGGTGGATCATTTCTCTGCAGAGTAAACTGTCCTATTTGAGAACGCATCGCAATAATTAAGATAAGCAAATCAGTAATTTGTTTACTCAGAGCAAGCTTTAATTACAAAATTATTTTGGTGTATTTTAAGGTTCTCATCGATGGCATCACCATCAAGCAAATGGAGTGCTTTTTCAAATCGCTTGCATGTAACTCACTTATCCAATTATATTGCCTTGTTATCCAAAGGCTGTTTATTTCTGAAAGAAGCAATGTTCAAGATT